GAAAATATATTTGTTTCAGGTCTCTTCTATAGCTGTACTTTACAGCGCCTCATGGAATGGAGGTAGGCCTGGGTTCTCAAAGGATTTGGTAGTAAAAACAAAAACAAAAACAAAACAAAAGAAATGAACAAAACTTTCACTAGATCCAGCCAAGTTGGAAATACTTAAGATGTGAACCTAACGTTGGATTGTATATTGTTGTCCAAAGTATAGTGTAGTTAAGAGAGATTTCTCACCAAAAGTTTTGTCATCAAGTCATAGGGTCAAAAATTTACAGCTGGAAGGAACTTTGGAGACTTTGAAGTCCAGACTCTTCATTTCATAGAAGAGGAAATTGAACCCAGGACAGGTTAAGTGCCTTCCCTAAGATAATAAATCACTTTAAGGTTTGCAAAGCACTTTACAAATGTTATCTTATTTGATCCTCATAAGACCCCTGGGAGGTAGTTTTACAGATAAGGAAACTGAAGCAGACAGGTTAAATGATGTGCCCAGAGTCACAAAGCTCCTAAGTATCTGAGACCAAATGTGAACTGGAACTGAGGTCTTCTGACTCCAGGTTCAATTTTGTATTCACTGGGCCACCTAGTTACCTCAGAGTCCTTGATTCCTCATTCAGTGCCCTATACCCTACCCCATGCAATATCATGATTGTATTTGACCAAAATTACTCTTGAAGTCCATATACTAAATTTTAGAAGGTTTGTGATCTGTGATCATGGAAGAGGTACCCTCTCTGAGATTATCAGATAACTGATGATTTTGTGTGTGCTTATTTAATATGCTGCTACTTTGTTAAAGTTGCTCAATTTCAATTAATTTTAGTTGATTTTAGAGTTTTCTATATAGACCCTCATATCATCTGTCATTCCTCTTTGCCTATACTTATTTGCTCTGGTTTTTTTTTTTGGTGCTATAATGATAGCTAGCATTTCTAGACTATAGTAAATAATCATGATGTTAATGGACACCTTTACTTTACTCCTGATCTTAGTAGAAATCCTCTATTTAATTTCCATTAACATCAGTACTGACTCTTGGATTTAGATACATGCTATTTATCATTTCAAGAAAAAGTAATTTAATCCTATACTTTTTTAAGTGTGTATGTGTGTGTGTGTGTGTGTATTTTGGCCAATACCTTTTCTGTATCTATTAATATAACTCTTATTTAGATTTTTTTATTGTGAGTGTGATCATTATGTTTATAGTTTTCCTGATATTGAACCGAACTGGCACTTGTTATAAATCATACCTGATAATTATGAACATTCCTTGTTGTGTGTTGGTAGTCTCTTTGATAATATTTCATCTGTTTTTTTTTGCCATGATATTCATTACAGATATTAGCCTATAGTTCTCTTTCTCTGATTTGTTTGTACCTTGCTTAAGTATCAGGAACAAATTTACATTATAAAAAGAATGTGGAAAAAATCTTCTTTTCTGATTTTTGTACACAGTTCATATAATATTGGAATTAATTTTTTGAATGTTTGATAGAACTCTTTTGTAAATCCCTCTGGTCCTGGAAATTATTTTTTTGGGAGTGGAGAATGAAAGTAGGAGAGTTCATTTGTGGTTCATCCTGTTTTCTTTTTTCTTTTTCCTTATGATTGGTTTATTTAAATTCTCTATGTCGATATTTTAAACTTGATACATTTATAGATGTTCATCCATTTGACTTAAATTATCCATTTTGCTGGGAGATAGTTACAAAATAGTTTTTAATCACTTACTGAATTCCTTTTTCATTTATTATGATTTTTTTTATCAAAGCTGGCAATTTGATTTTCCTATTTCTTTTTCTATACTAAATCATGATTTATACTGTAATTTTTTCTTTCAATTTTGTTAATATCTTCTTTGATTTTTCATAATTTTTATTTTGTTGTGGTTTTAATTTGTTAGTTTTCAAATTTTTCTGGTTTCTTACCCAATTAATAAATGTGTTCTTTGTCTTTTTTTTGCTGATGAAAAGGATAGCGATACAAAATTTCCTTTTAGGATTGCTTTAGCTAAATCTTGCTATTATTACTTTTGTCCCCCTTGGGATTATGAATTCTTTAGGATTAAGTTATTTATTCTCCAGCTAATTTTCAATGTTTTTTTAATGACCCTTTGTAAAATATAATTTTATAGTGTGGTTTTTGGTAACATTTACATTTAACAGTTCTACTTTTCTTTACTTGTTGATGAGATTTTTATGCCCTGATTTTTATTAAAGTCATGTTAGCTGAAAAATACATACATTATATACACTTTTACATATAAAAATACATAGGCATTACTTTCTGTACCTATTTTGTAATTATTAACAGATATAATATCCAGTTTTTCCAAAAATTTTCTTCAGGTCTGTAACTTCTTTCTTATGTATCTTTTAGTTAGATTTGTCTAAATCTGAGAGATGTGTGTTGAACTCCTTGACTCTTATAGTTTTGCTATTTCCTCACAAATTTATTAAATTTTTCTTTGATTTTTTTTTGTCTTTTGTTACACATATAAATAACAAAAATGATAGTCATTGTCCATGACACCTTGGAGCATGTCATTTCCCTGTTTATCTCTTTTAATTAAATTTATTTTCACTGTTGCCGAGTCTGAGATCATTATATTGGTACCCCTGCTTTTTTGAGTTTAGCTAAAGGACAATAGATTTTGCTTCAGGCCATTATTTTAACTCTGTGTTTCTTATAAACATCTTATTGCTAGATTCTTCTTTCTGCCATCCTACCCTATTTTATTAGTGTGTTTATCCTATTCGTATTCAAAGTTAGGATTGTTAAGTGTATATGTCTGTGTATTTCTCTTCATCCTGTCTCTTTACGCTTTTTTAAAAAATTTAATACCCCCCAAAAAAAGAGGGTGTTGGAAGAGCATGATGCTTAACACTAGAGATATTTATTTGATCCCATCTCCTTCCTTTCTACTACTCTTCTCCCACCCCATCTCTGATTTTGGGGTATCTTACCCCATTCTTTCCTTGTATTCTTTCTTTCATGTTCCATTCTCTGAAAATGCAGTTATTGTCTAATCCCTTTGTTAAACTATTTTATCTCTTAGTCCCCCTTTTCTTTCTCCCTGACTGACCCATTTCTGTTTCAAATTCTCTCTGTGTATGTATTAAGCCATTGTTTGTCCAATTCAGATGAAATTGAAATTTACATGTTACCCTTTCTATCCTTTCCTCCATGTTTGTATAGTTTTCTCCTTGAGTACCTTTATTATTTGAAATACTAAATTCTGCATCACATAGCACTTGTTCTTTGGACTCATTCTTTACATTGTTAAAAGATACCTCTTCTCCCATAGAAAGGGAAAGGGGAAAGCCTGAAGTGTGGTAAGGTTGTTAGAAACATGAGCTTCATTAAACATGTTTGCTTAAAAATCTTTATGCTTTGACTATCTCACTTTTGCCTTGCTTTGGCTTCTCTAGTGATTGAATTTAACTTTATACTTATTTTGTTCCATATGTACACCAACCTTCCATAAACCTTTAGTTCCAGTAGCAATGAATTAGTGATTCTCTTGTGACATTTTTCATATACTGCTTTACATTATAGACGTTTGTAGAAATTCCTGAACTCTCCATCTCCCATTTAAATTGTAAACTCTTCTAAAGAATAAACAGCATCATCTGCATCTTTGTGTGCCCTACAGAGTTTTCACAAAGTAGGTGCTCATTATTGTTCCTTTGGTGAAATAAAAACAAAATCAACTTTCTGCTCTAGAGTTAGTTTATTAAAATAACTTCTCAGTCTTTCATTACCAGGTATCACAAGTTTCTTTGGGAATTTCATAGAGATAATTTGACATATTCACAAGGTCCCTTACCTTGAATTCACAATGTCAGACTCTATTTCCATTGACATATCTTTTGACAGTATTCCAACTGGTATAGTTTTTGGAGAAGCTTCATAAAGGGTAATTTCTTACCAGACATTATTAAACCCATCCTTCACTGAATGGCATGATACTTTAGGATTTATTCTCTGACAGCATTGGTGATTCAGAAATTAACTTGTCTCTAGTCATTTCTGTCATTCACTAGTATGTAAGCAGACAGTTAAATCTCTCATCACCAGGCATTCCACTTGACTAGAAATAAAATGGGAAGTTGGAAACTGTCACAGTTAATTCAAGAGTTATACAGATATTAGAGGATTGGCATTACCTTTCAAATACTTTACTTTCTGAATCAGTCACCCACTCTACTTTCATACACCAACAGTGTAATAAGTACTACCACCTAGATTTAAATCTAAGAATCTCAAATTAAAAAAAACTGTATGGATGGGAATCAGAGAATGGGTTTTTCCATAGAGAATTTCCATTTCGTGCTTTCTTACTCTGACCCCATCCTAAACTTCTGAACATAACACAAGATCTAATTTTTGGTTCATTTTTCTTTGAAGTGGAAAACTTTGGTATTTTGCTTTGGATAGAAAGCCTTATCCATATTTGATTCAATTTAATGACAAGGAGGATCTGTGTTAAAGATAAGAAAATAAATGATGTAAGAAAAATGGGAAAAAATAGAGAAGTGGGGTAGAATTTAAAAAGGGTTAAATGATGTTAGTCTTCAGAAAGAAAATTTTAGTGTCTTTGTCCAAGCTGATATTGTAACCCCAAAAATGAAAATAAAATACTCAAAAATGAATGGAAATTAAAGTTAAAGATTATAGGAGTAATTCAAGAAGATAGAACTAAGGAAGTAAATGTAGAAAATATGTGCTATAGTGAAAAACATTCCAAAGCCTATTTGCATTCCCTTCTCTTGGTCAAACTCAGGGAGAAGTCATCTGTAATAGACAAAGAATATCCTGTTGAGTCTAAAATAAATTTGGTATATTTGATTTTAGTCTTATCATTTATATGTTTTCTTTTATTTTCCTTTGATTTCTATGCTTAGCTTTTATTATTGTTTAGAACTATTTCTTTTCTAGAAGAATCACTCTCATTAACAAAAATTCCCTTTCAAATGTTCCTGAACTTTGCAGAACATTATACATCCATGGTCATACTAAGTTGGATTTCACAGTCTGGCATACTGCAATTGAAAAAGCTGCAGGTACAGATGGTAATGCATTACAAGACCAGCAGCTCAGCAAAAATGACGTTCCCATTATAGTAAACAGCTGTATAGCATTTGTTACACAGTATGGTAAGTATTTCTGAGATCTTTTTCAACTCATGATATCATTCTTACCATTTGTAAGTAGTGCCCCAATTGAAGTGGATTAATGTACTTGTGTTTGAAAAGGCACCCAAGAAAAATGGAAACACTTTTGATTTTCATCCAGAGACTTCCCCCCCACAAATTCATTCAAAGTATGGAATGTAATTTGAAATTTTTGTTTGTTTCTTTTCCCTCTCCTTTTTAAAACTTGTCTTTTAAAACTTGTCATTTAAAAATGTCTTAAGAAGTATAGAGAATAAAACAGGCATTTGAGTATAAGTTCAAATTGTTTCTCCAGGTGCTAATATGTTTAGTCATTTACTACGCCTCTATCACTTTTTAAAGTGTTCTCAGATGTGACAATTTTGGTACTGAAGAACAGAAGATACTTAATTTTTGATAGATATATATGTTAATCATAGTGTAATGGTACAACAGAGTGAAAAGTCCCTAACATTTTTTTGTGTGTCAAAAAAAAAATTTGATGATTTTGAGTCAGATGTCTATCTAGCAGTCTTGGTGTTATTCAAGGAAAAAATTGGTTATTACATTTGACTTATTTACAAAGATAATTTTTTATCAAGAGGTTTGCCTTATTCCAGAGCTTCTTAATGTATTTCTCTATCCTTTAACTTGATTACAGCATGTAGCTATGATTAAATACTTTATATACCTCTACAAACACATTCTCAGTTACCTTCTCTTTGTGTAAAAATGATTCTGGGTTCTCAGAGGCCATGATAGAAAATTAATAGTTCTTGCAAGTGCTATCGTGGTGGAAAAGCTTTAAGCATGGTGCTTCATATCCGAGGACTGATCTGACTAAGAATAAAAAAGGCTGGCCACTGGGTATTGAGTTCTGTGACCATGACAACCCATGAACAAAATAAAATACAAGATTGATTTCAGACTTGTTTGGCCCTCTTTTTGCTTCTTTGGCAATGCTAAAATGATGTAAAGCAGAGCAGAGAATGTCAGGAGCTGCAGTTTTTAAAAAATCTATAACATAAGCTCAGCAGCTGGAACCCCCAGCTTCTGATGATCAACAAGTTGTTGACAGATATGAAGCTGACAGAAATGATACACTGTTGACAGAAATGAAAGCATAGACTTAATGAAGTTGCAGGATGAGTGATTTGCAAGTTCTTTTAGATCAAGAGTTCTTAATTTTTGTATAATGCACTCCTTTAACAATCTGGTGAAGCCTGTTAGAACCTTATAATAATGTTTATAAATACATAAAATAAAATATGTGAGATTACAAAGGAAATCCATTATATTGAAATGCAGTAAACAAAATAGAAGGTCAAGGACCTCTGGTTAAGAACACTCATTCAATTAGAAGTGTATAATAGTTTTCTCAAAGTTCGTCTTAACTTGCATCTAAAAGCAAGAAGTATAGTTTCATAGGACATTTAGTCATCTTGTTTTGAAGAATTCACATTAAGCATAGGAAAGGGAACAATACTAAGGAAGCTGTGCAGTTATCTGTTGTTAACGATGGATTAAAGAAATTACATATAGAACATGACCAGATCCTTCAAACTAAGTAAACATGTACCTAAGCTTAATACTTGACAACTTCATGTTCAAAGGTGTGCTTTGAATAAGAAGACAAAAATACTTTGGAAAATGTTATTTGGGATTAAGGAATGAGAAAGACTAAAAGTTTGCCTCTTTCTTGCAAATCTTGAATATCTTAATAAAAAAGAGAGCCCACAACTTCTGGACATCATGAGCACCAAACAGCATAACAAAAGTGAAAACAAATAAATGACTGTTCAGTCCAGAGTTAGTCATTTATGTGCCATCAGATAATCAACTAGGTAGAGCAAAAGTTAAAACAAACACCAAATTATGACAAGGTAAAAACAAAATAGTAACAATTACTATACCCTAACTTGATTTATTTATAGCAAGCTACTGTTGCTTTAATTTTAGAAAATGGAATCCTATAATATGAAAGACATTGATAGGCATAATCACAATGCCTTAAAGAAGACATTGTAGTGCCAGAGTTTAACCAATTTAAAAATCACCCCAAAGCACAGATCAAAAACCATCTAAGTCTTGGTTTCTTTGTCAAATGGAGAGACTTGTCAACCAGTGTATTTTAATGTATGAATTTCTTTACAAAATGTTACAAAAGAGGATGGAAGATTGTAAGCAACATTGCCTTGACAAAATAGCAAGAAATGGTTACGGAAAAAAAGAACTGGCAGAAAGCATTGGCAAGAGATGAAGCAATGCTAGATCAAATTGTAGATGAAACTTGAATATAGATTAAAAAAAGAAGTGGAGGTGAAACCACTTGAGTACTCAATGTGCTATCTAGAGAAAGTAGAAAATACACCTAAGAAATGAACTCAGGAAAAGTAGCTAGACCAAATCAAACAGATACAGAAGAAATTTGAACTGGATGAAACAATTTCAAAGGCATACAGCTACTGACTTTTAACATGAATATAAAAAAGGAAAATTTATAAAGAATCCCACATTTATTTTGCTTTTATAGCTAAAAGAGGTGACTGAAGAGACATCATCAAAATTCGTGCCATTCTTGTACATAATATTCAACCTCTTGACTCTGCCTTTTCACTGGATGTCATCCAGAATGGTTCCCTTTTTAGCTCTGGGCTTCCCTGCTTCCTTCAGAACTCAAATTAAATCCCACCTTTTGCAAGATGCCCTTCCTTGTCTCTCTCCCCTCAATCCCTATTAGTACTTCCCTCTGAGATGACCTCCCTTTTACACTGTTTATATCTCACTCATACAGTTTTTTGCCTGTTATCTCCCCCATTGGGATGTGAGCTCCCTGAAGGCAAGGATCTTGTTTTTTCCTTTCTTTTTGTCTAGCCTTAGCATAGTGCCAGGCATACAGGAAGTGCTCCATAGATACTGATTGATTACTGACTCCATAAGTTCTCTTTCTCACATTTAACAGTTCTTTAGAAGAGGAATTTTTTTGCGCGTGTGCGTGCACACACACACACACATATCATGTTTAATGAAAACATGAGGAAACAGGCAAGCTTTTACAGATGAACATCTAAAGTAATTCACACCTTGGCAATTATATAGCTGATAGGTATAGGAAAGATGGTTTCCTGCCTTTTTTATTGCTTATTGATTGAAAAAAATACATTTGACTAATTATATTTGAATTATGTGAAATTCTTTGTAAGATGGATCCTCAGGCATCTTTGTTCCGAAATCACTCTGATTATTAATATTGAAGCAGACATCAGAAAAGACCTATGTTCACTGGGGTTTCATAGATCCTTTATGGAGGAATCTTCAATGGACATAGACAAGAATTACTCTGATGAAAAGTTCCAAATGGATTATGATTTGCATTGGTGGCAGGAATAATCACAAGGATGGGATCATGAATACAGGGAAGTCTTGAAGTAGGTTACTATAGTATTTTAGCAATGGCTAAAGAAGTACCTTAATTTCACATTCTTATTTTCATGTTTTACAAATAGCCTGGATTTTGTTGTTTTTCAGTGTTCCCTTCATTCCTACTCTCTGCTTTCTGTTATTCTTAGAGTCATAACTAAGTTTGGGAACCTGAGCAAAGCATTTGGGACTTGACCCCAGGGCACTAACCTTTTGGTAATGTTGACAGCACTAGTATTCTAGCAGAGCAGGATCCAATGAGCTTATTCCTCTTCTAAGGTACCCCTTCCCTGATGTCCTGGACTTGGTATAAATGGTTGATTTGAGGGCAAGTTTACTGTAGGCATGAAAATGATTATTTAAGGCCTTGCTTTTTCCCTGTCAATTGACTTAAGTTTTACATTTCTCAATACTTATAGTGTGTGTTTTACACTTTCTAAACTCTGATACACCATCTTTGAAATTTTAAAGTCATAAATGTGTCAAGAATCAGTTACATTTGAGTGGTCTAGTGGAAAGGATAATGCTTATCCCCTACTAATACAAAGTTGTTCAATCTTAGCACCCCAAAATTGCAATGAAATTGGGCAGTAAATGAGAGAAAGAAGTAAATGAGATGAACTGATGAGTTTTAGCAAATTTAATTTATAATTGAAGTACCATACATACTCTCTTATCCTTGTTTTATTCCTTTCCTGTTTTATCCCTCACCTCTTAAATTTAGCAATATTCTAAAAAAGTAACAATAAATCACAAATTCATGCAAATGATAACACATGACAAAACTATTTTTAAGGTTTACAAAGTCCATTCTGTACAATAAATTTGTGAGTTAGTAGTGAAATATTATTACATCCCTGATTTAGAAGAAGAAAATGAGTTTCAAAGAAATGAAGTTCATTGGCCAGGGTATTTTAACTAGTAAAGGAGTCTTTCTATATGCTAATACTTGTATAGTAATTACCACTGACTATGAGAAATCATTAGCATATTTATCAGTTTTATTCACTGAGGTCATGGTTATGTTTATGTTGTCATGTATGCTATTTACTGTGTTCATTTATTATAATTATATTTTCACACCAGTAAGAAGTTACATTCTTGAATTTGGCATATACTCATTGATGTGTACTCAGAAATCACCATGAAACATAGTAGCCAGTGGACATGGCTTCTGTGACAATCATTACTTTGAATTTCTTGCTTTTTGAAGTCCAAATTTGGAAGTCCTAATTCCACTTGAGTTTACTAATCTTTGGTCAGTTTTTAAACACAAAGAATACATATTTTTGCCCACATCTGTAAATATAGCAAACGTTTATAAATATAGCATTTCTTTCATTAAGGTAGCTGACCATGTATACATAATTTCAGTTGAATTTGTTCATTAATTTGACCTCAGTATGGTTATATCTTTCATTTTTGAGCATGTTGGTATCATTCTAGGATGGTAAGTTGCAAGGGTGGAGGATAAATAGCAGGTGCATCTGTGATTTATAGAAGATCCAACACAGCTCTTTGGATTGATAATACATTTGTTTTTCTTCCTTGTCACAGTATGCACACATTCAAATTGCATTCTTAACATCAGTTGTATTTTAATTTTAGGCTAATATGTCTTTTAATCTTCTTTTGAAGGTTTAGGAAGCAAGCATATCTATCAGAAAAATGGTGACTCTTTCCGCATAAGTGAGCTCCTGGAAAGTTTCAGAAAAGATGCAAGAAGCTTTAAATTGAGGGCTGGGAAGCATCAGCTAGAAGATGTGACTGGCGTGTTGAAAAGTTTTCTGTCTGACATAGATGATGCGCTTCTTACTAAAGAGCTGTATCCGTACTGGATCTCTGCATTAGGTAATATATTCAGAAAATCAAGGAAAATTATGTCTAATGGAATCTGTGCACTCAGTAGTTATTTTTATATTGTACTATTCAGGGTTTACTTTGATTTTTCTCTTAATTTTGTGCTGCAAATTGCATTTTTAAAAGTCGGTGAGAACTGTGTGAACATTATTCTCTTGGAATAGAGTTTGTACACTTTTTTTGAAAGCTGAAGATGTAGACCTCAGGTACATATTTGGTCCTAAAAACTGAGGTGGCATGTGACATTTATTTATTAGATTTGGTCAAGTTCCTCAGTGTTCAGATACATACAGTCTCACTCAAATACACAGGATCTCTAGTCGAAACTGTTACAAATTGGTGTGTTACTTTTGAATGTATTTTTTTTGGCATAGGCTTTAAGAATTGATGGTCACTTGGATTCTGTAATGACTAAGTTTGTATTTCCAATATCTTCATTTGACTGTTAAGTCTTTCCCTATGTTTATTCTAGCTTTTCCAATAGAAACTGGTCCATGTTTCCTTTTGCTTTCAATTTCTCAGGATATTATTTGAAGTTTTAGCGCCTTGACCAAACCACCAGAAAACCATTGGAGAAATTTGTAGGTTTAGCTTCCCAGAAGTCTTAGTATTAAAGAACCAAGAAACTGAATTTTTTCCAATAAGTAACTTAAATATAATCACTGATGGGGTTGAATTGATGACAGTGACACCTCAGTCATTTGATATAAACTAATTTAAAATAGCCTGTAAATTGAAGCTATAAATAGTCTCTACTTAACAAGATAAGATTTTTATTCTATATATAGATGATAGGCAACTTGGAAAAAAAGTTATTCAGGTAGGTGTCATGAAAGAAGAACAACCATCCATAATTAGAAGTGATCCTCTGAACCATTAATGAGAGACAGACAGGTAGGCAGGCAGGCAACTTTTCATGGACCCTTCAGCAGTATTGATGAATACAATGAAATCTGATTAAGGTGACATTGGTTAAAATAATGGGTAATCTTAACCCATTTAATTCAGAGGATACTTTCCCCTTATAAAATGACATAACCATAATAAGGTTTTTAGCCAGGTTGTCCATTTGAGAATCTGGCTTAGAGGCATATTTTTTTTCCTTGAGAATTTCAAAGGACATATTAGTTAATCCTTATCTCAGGGTGTTTCTGTTTATTTTGCTGTTAGTGCCACTTTGAGGAAATTTTTTGTACATTGAATCTTTCCTATATTTTTGTATGTTTTATACAAAGTTCCTATTTACCTTCACTTTTTTTTGTGTGTGTTTGGGGTTTTTTTGGTGAGGCAATAGGGGTTAAGTGACTTGCCCAGGGTCACTTAGCTTTACCTTCACTGTTTTAAACTCCATCTTTGATCCAATTCCATTTTATTGAAAACCCCTTGCCACTGGCAGCATTATTGCTTGGAAGCACAAAAGAATAACAATGCTTGACAAGTTTCTCATCTCCTCTTATTCTAAAAGCTCCTGTGAGATTGGGTCAGGATCTAAAACAAAATCCTCTGGCCACTCTAAGACTAAACTTCTTTAAAATTTCCTATATTGGTGTTCCCAAAGACAATTGAATCTCCTATTAGAACACCCCAGGATTCTTTGGACTTGGGACAGTGAGGTAATATACTCTTTAAGTGATCTTAGTGTGGTTTGCCTAACTTCCTTTTCTGCAGACCACTTTGTCGAGTATTGTCTGAAATCTGTGGCCAAAGAATATTTTTGAGCATATGCTTTTCATGTAACTTTCTTTTCATTTTTCTTAGACTCTTCTTAGAATTTATTTTTTAGCTTTCATATTAAAAAAAAACTATATGTTCAGTTTCAAAATGTCCTATAAAGGAGGAGTTCCTTAGAAAGGTAATACAATTTAGCTATTATTTATTAAAGGAAATGCCCTTTGGGGTTTGAAATGAGGACACCACTATTTAGTTATATTCCTAGTGACTGATAACTAGTAATTCTTCTGGTGATGTTATCAAATTATCTTTCACTTTTGCTTTAATGGAAAAGCTTATTTTGGTGCCATGGACCCGTTTGATAGTCTGGTGAAGTTAACTGACTACTAAGAATAATGTTTCTAAATAATTGAAGGAAATGTTTTAATTTCAGTTAGAGGTTAGTGAAAATAAAGATGTATTTGTTTTCCAATCCAAGTTCACAGACTGCCTGAATGAAGAGAGCCATGTTTACTTATTGAGTATGGCAAACCTGAGAGATCAGTACAAAAGAGATAGTTGTAAAGAAAGTTGTAATTTGAAATTGAAGTGTACTTAAAAAAGATTTTAGAGAGATTCTTTTATCCCCGGGGATCCTAATGCCCTTTACAGACTACCTAATGCATTGAGAGAACCACTGATATCTAACTGCTTTTTGTATAAAAGACTAAATCTAACATGGAATAGGAAGAATTGTATTTTTCAAGAAAAGTGGGGAATAGAGAGGAGAAATGTATAAGTGCAGATTCCATCATCTACAAAAGTATCATTGATGCCTTATTCCTCAGGACAGGCAAGTGAAGGATGCTTCTGAATTCACATTTTCACTTACTTATTTGGTTTAGACATATACAGGATTTTTTCTTTCTAGATACGTTCAGCCTTTAAACCATTCTCATTCTCTTCTTTGTCACAACACCCGCCCCTCTGCCCTTTTTTAATGTCCTCAGTTTTTCTCCACCATTTTTGCTCTTTTACTTCTGGAAATGGTGCATTTAGTGCATTCTTATGATCCAACTGACTTGTTCTCTCCCCTTCATCTCTGCACTCACTCCTCAGCCTCCTTACACTGTAGATTCTGCTTCTGCCACTTTGCTGAAAGTGTTTTTTTAAAGATTTTCAGTGTAAAATCCAGAGCCATTTTCAAGGCCTCATACTTCTTTTTTAGTTTCTCAGCAAAATTCAACATTATAACCACTATTATCTTCCTCCTCTGATTTTTTAATACATTTCTTGTGTACTTATTGCATTCTATTTTGCGCTAAGGTAAATAAAAACATTTACTCAATGCTTAGTATGTGCCAGGCACTACTAGCTGCAAGGGATATACGTACAAACAAGTAAGACTGCCTCTATCCTCAAGTGGCTTACATCTTTTTTTTTTTTTTAAACGCGATTGGGGTTAAGTGACTTGCCCAGGGTCACACAGCTAGTAAGCATCAAGAATTTGGTCTGAGGCTGGATTTGAACTCAGGTCCTCCTGACTTCAGGGCCAATGCTCTATCCGCTGTGCCACCTAGCTGCCCCTAGGGTGCTTACATCTTAATGAGGACTAGAGGGAGAGTACCTGCAGGAGCAAGGCAGCTATTAAGGAGAGGGAGAAATCAGGAGAATAAGTGGAGCCAGAAGGGAATTGAGGCTGGCTAGGGCCCTTCATAAAATAGTGGTCCATGTCAGGAATTCACCAACCTCCAGAGCCATGCTCAGGATGGTAGTATCCTAAATTTCTGAATAAATTTCTTATTTCTCCGCAAGATTAATTATGTCTTTCTGACTATTCCTTATCTGCTTCTTCTTCCTTTCCTTCTCCATTAAGTGTAGGCAACTCCCAAGACTTGGACATTTATTCCTTTCACTCTCATACACTCTCATTGCTTCAACTCTTACCTTATTATTTATAAATATTTATCTCTAATTTCAACCTCTTTTATCAGCTCCACACTGGTTACTGGCTAGATATCTTCACCATAGGCCCTGCTGATATCTTGAATCTTCATTTTCCCCTGCCCATAACTGATTGTAGTCCTCATTTTTCCAGATTCTCAAAGTCTACCATTTCTCTATCACCTATATGTTAAAAATATGGTTCATCTTTTTTTTTCCTTTTTCCTATTTCTGTATAAATTCTCCCTTTGAAACATCTCTTGTATCCACCCCTTATTGTACTATTTGTACTGCTACCATCTAGTTCATGCCCTTGTTTCTTGCATCTTTCAGTAACCTCATGAGTCTCCTTGTCTCCATTTCCTTCCCTCCACCAATTAATCGTACCCATGGATGCTAGATGAATCTCAGCACACAGTTAGTCGATCATTTCATTTCCTTTCTAAATAATTTTCCATGGTTTTTCTGTAGCATATTGAACAGACTTATAAGATTATTTTTATATTCTTTTTTGTTTTTAATGTTTATTGATTTATTTTGATTTATCAACAATCACTTTCATAAGCTTTTGAGTTTAAAATTTTTCTCCTCCTCCCTCTCCACCTCCCTCCCCAAGATGGCATGCAATCTGATATAGGCTTTACATACACATTCCTGTTAAACATATTTTCACATTAGTCATGTTGTAAGGAAGAATTAGAACCAATAGGAGGAACCACAAGAAAGAAGGAAAAAAAATGGCAAATAGTATGCTTCGATCTGCATTCAAACTCCATAGTTCTTTCTTTGGATGTGGATAGCATTTTCTATCATGAAACTTTTGGAGAAGTTTTAGATCCTTGCATTACTGAGAAGGGCTAAGTCTGTCAAAGTTAGTCATCACACAATGCGGCTGTTACTGTATACAATGTTCTCCTGGTTCTGCTCACTTCACTCAGCATCAGTCCATACAAGTCTTTCCAGGTTTTTTTGAAGTCTGTCTGTTCATTATTTCTTATAGCACAGTAGTATTCCATTACATTAGTATACCACAACTTGTTCAGCCATTCCCCAATTGGTGGGCTTCCCCTCAATTTCCAACATTTATCATTTCCTTGTTTTGTCGTGTTGACCAATCTGATAGGTGTGATATGGTACCACAGAGTTGTTTTAATTTGTCTTTCTCTCATCAATAGTGATTTAGAGCTTTTTTTTCATATGATTACAGATAGCTTTAATTTTGTCATCTGAGAACTGCCTGTTCATATTCTTTGACCATTTATCAATTGGGGAATGACTTGTATTCATAAGATTATTTTTCAAAACTCTTCACAATCTAACACTATCCTACTTTTTACTTTCTATTTCATACTGCTTCCTATTATTATGTATTTTACATTCCAATCAATTCATCAATCAACAAACCAAGATTAAGTCCCTCCATTTAATATGTTGTGCATTATGCCAGGTGCTTTGGGAGTGCTAAGTTTAGTTAGGACCTAACTCTTACATTCCAGGAACTTATGGTCTGGTAAAAGCATAAGATATGAACCCAGAGAGCTACCATACCCAATATTATATGATAAAGGCCCTAAGGGAAAAAGTTGTTACACCCAGCAGTATCAAGTAATGCTTCCTGTTAGAAGTGATATTTCAGTTTGGCTTTAAAGGGTGGTAGTTCAGCAGGTGATCTTGAGCAGAGTCATGGAAGTATGAGAATGTGTTGCATTTTTAGGGTTGCAAAGTTGACCAGTCTGATTTTAGTGTCATTATGGAAAAATGGTTAGAAAGGTGCCAGGTTGTGGAAGACATTACCAAACAGAGACATTTGAACTTTACTCCAAGAATAATAAGGAGGCATTGAAGATTTGTCAGCTGAGTGACCTGAGTAGATATAGTTATTATTGGAGTAGGAAGACCTTTAAGGATGTTGTTGCAGTTATCCTGCTGAAGTGTTAAGTAACTGAACTGGGTAAGTGATAGTGGAAATACACCTAAGTTAGAAATGTTGGAGTTCAGATGGAGTTGAATAGGATTTAGTACCTTCTATGAAACTCTTTTGTCCCCTGACTAAAAGTGATCTCTCCTCTCAAATCTTTTTTATGTTTCATATGTTCAGAAGCTTATAGTCTCATTGGTTTCAGATTTGCATTAAAGTTGTAAATCTCCAACCAGTGAGACTAAAAGTTTCTTGAAACATTTTGTATTATTTATATGTGGATCTTTCTGCAATATCTGATATGTAGTAGATAACTCAGCACATCACAGGATCAAATAATTTTCAAATTGGAATGGATCTCAAAAGCTGATTAATCCAATCCATACATGAAAAAATACCTGCTATAACATACCCAGCAAGTGGTCATCCAACCCTTGCTTGTAAACCTCTAAGAAGGGGAGCCCATTACTTCCTACCCCCAAAGCATCCTGTTCAATTTCCGAACAATTATACTTTTCAGGGGTTTTTTCCTGACATTACGCCCAGGTTCCCCTCTTTGTGACTTCTACATGTTGTTCTTAACTCTTGTCTTTTGGGGTCTCAGAGAACAAATCTACTGTCTCTTTCACATGATATCTGTTCAGATCCTTGAAGATAGCTCTTATATTTCCTCTGATTCTTCAATAGGCTTAAATTCACCCCCAGGTCCTCCATTGGATACTCATCACTTGCATTAAAGAGACACTTTTATCCTCTATGTAGTCCTTTAAATGCTTTCCAGCTTATTTATGCCCTCCCTAAATGGTGGCACCCAGGACTGAATACAGTTATCTTGATTTAGTCTGATCAGGTCAAAGTATAAAGGGACTTTCATCTGTTTATTCCTGTAAGCTGTGCCTCTTACTACCACCATCACCTAACAGACTGTACTCCATTTTGAACTTGACTCCATTCACCTATAACACCCTTTTCAGTCCTAATTGTTATCAACTGCTAAACTGCAGACCATTTTTACCTCCTTTCTTTAGGATTTGGCGCTTGGTTCTTCACTGACAATGTTTGGCAGGCTTCATTATTGAGAGCATTTGTGTTCAAATTGATTTACATTTGACCCTCCAAATATATTATCCCTGTCAACTGTCATGGCTTATATCTTCACACCATGTCAGGGTGAATAACACCTCAGTTCTCATTGACACCCTAAATGTCCAAATACATATTCCTAAACTCTAAAATTTCCCTTTATATTCATAATTTCTTATCCCTTCATTTTTTTCTTCTTCCTCACTTCTCCTGAGCCTGTTTTTCATCATTGTTATTGTCAATCCTTCTCTCTCTTTTCTTAGTCTATTTCCCTTAGTCCTACATTCTGGGGCCAATAGAATATGACACACCCCTTTACCAAATGACAGACTGCTAAATATTGAATGCTGTTTTCTTGCCACTTTCCTCTGTCCCCCACCAAGTCTTCTTATACTTACTTCAATTCCTTCATCTGATCCTCACTGAGCATGACCTCAAAGTAAAAATGCATATGCTTAATAAATGTTCATCGAATTGCATTGAATGTTTGCGATTTTTCTTATTCTTTCTTAGATACTCAAGATGACAAAGAAAGGGTTAAAAAATACAGCACATTTATCCGTACACTTCCAGGGGTCAACAGGGCAACTTTGGCAGCTATAATTGAACACCTTTACAGGTCAGTATATTCAAAAACTTTTTTACACTTTCATCAGTACGTAGTTTTCAATACACTTGTTTTTCAGCTCTACTGGTGTGATCAAAGGCCTGCCTGTCAGAAGCTTTCAACACGGTTGGTTAAATACTCCTCCTTAGTATAGAGTCTTAGAGAATTTAATGAGGCTGGGGCAGATTAAAAGATTTGCCAATAGTCAGGAATAATTCAGGGCCATAGGTAAAATAGGTCTTCCTGATTCCTAAGCACTCTATCCACTGACATTACCCTATCCTCCTGCGTCTTGGTCTCAGTCAATTTCTTTTGCCATATAAAGTCCATCTTTATAGTCTTCTGACAGACTTGCCATTTCTGAGCTATATACAGTGATGTAAGTCGTAATTACAAAATTAAACTTAGATGAGAAGGCTCTTTTTGGAGTCCTGCGTAAAGTGCTTTCTAACATTTTAAGTGCCATATGGAGAGTTATTATATGATTATATTAGCCTGACAAGCTGGCCAATCAGTGTTTGAGTCACAAGCTGGCAGAATTGACTGAGGGGGCTAGAGTTGTTTATTGAAGGATACACAGAATCAAATGGAAATCAGCAGTTCCACTTCCCGTTCTCTGCTAGCTCTGAAGTGGCAGCTCTATCCATCACAGCTGGCTCTAAGCTTCAGTTTCCAGCACCCCACGGTATGCTGAGGGGCTCCATTAATCAACTCTGGTTGACATCATGTAAGACATTGCCCTAACACTGAACGAGCCCTTCTTCCCTTTAGGGAGAAATTTTTACACCCCGAGGCAGGGCTGGAAAGAAAAAGAGTATAAGTAGTACTGTCATGATATATGTCCTAGGACTGTCTCATACAGAGCTCCTTGGGAAGCAGTAAGCCCAGAGAAACCTGTGACAAGAGGGAAATTACAGGTCCGGAGGGGTCTTAAGAATGTGAGGTGAATGGTATGTGCATGTTATACTGGAGATTATGGACCAATCATTGAACTACTAATCTTTTGTGCAATACAGTAATAACACATATATACATACTCACAAAGACATACACACACATATGTGAATATATATACACATACATATGCACACACAACTTTGTTGTTATAGAGGACTCCCCAAAAGGAAACTTCTACCAGTGGGAGATCAGCAATATAACTCATAGTATTAGAGAGCTGTATAGAGGAACTAAATGGCTAAATGACTTGCCCAGGTCTTCACAAGTCAGTATGTCAGAAGTTGGACTTGAACCCAGGTCTTTCAGATGCCAAGCCCACCTCTTTATCCATTACATCAGGCTGCCTTACAACAAAAAGAATAATGATTATAAAAACAGTTCTATGTAGTCAGTTCGTTTAGGCAACTATTGGATAGTTAGAGAACAGACAGAGAAAGAAAAATGAAGCCTGCAACCTGTATCCTCAGGGTCATGTGTCATGAGATCATAGACCTAGTGCGGAAAGGGACCTCAGAAGTGATATATTTCAACCCTCCCATTTTACAGATGATAAAAATGAAGCCCAGAGACATTAGGCAAATTGCCTCAAGGTCACATAATAACAGTCTATATTTGTCTAATTTTGTAACTTTATGTACAAACTGGTGTTTCCAGCTCAATTAAAATTCACTCTAAGACTCTCATTGGTTACCTAGCTGGCCTTTCTTGCAAAAACTTAAAATGCTCCTGGTTTCTGTTTGAACCAGAAAACAGAGCTCCATTTCGCTTAAGGAGATTTAGCCTCTCGTAGTATATCCATGATTGCTCACCAATACATCTAAACTTACAGTGATAGCTAGATGTTCACACTGCTTTGTGAAAGTATATCTTCATGTTGATGAGACTAGCTCTCCACTTGTGAAAACAACAAGCTGACCTTCTTTCTCACTAATCAGGAAGTGCTGATCATAGACTCATGGATAGAAGGTACATTGTAGATCTTCTAGTTTCCAGCCCTCATCTTATAGATGAGGAAATCGAGACATAAGAGGGGAAATGATTTGCCTAGGGGTCACACAAGTAGTAATCAACAGAAAAGAATAGAACTCAAATGATCTAACTTAAAACCCAGTGTTCTTTCTGCTGTCATAGGCTGTCTGTACATGAGTTTATTCTGTTTAATGTCTGTTCCCATTTTTTTATTGCATTTCTCCTCTAGCTGCTCTAACCCTTTCTCTGCAGATGTAAGCTGGCAGCTCTAATTTTATAATGCAAGGCAACCAGAAAGTAATTTGCAACTGAGTATGCTTGTTTTTTTTTTTTTAATACATGTAACTTTTAAAGGATGTGGCTCTCATCCATGTCCATATGTTGGAAAGTGTAAATAATTGTATGTGTCAGATTATTTACACAAAAAGAAAACTTTGATGTCGTATGATCTTGAAATATTATTTGAATCATTTGTGGTTGTTTACATTTTTACCCGTATATCTTGTCTCCCTAGATTGTAAAATGTTTTTTATAAAATCTAAATTTGTAAAATCTTTGGCATACAGAATCATGTTTCATAGCATTGTGTGTGCCCTGCTAGGCCTAGATACTCATTTTAATATTTGACAGTGATTGTTGTTGAAAGAAACCACAGTGAATTTCATCTTTCCTAGCAGTTTTATTGAGGTAATGTCAAAGTATTGTGTATCTTAATTGGACATATTTATCTTTAACAGGGTTCAGAAATGCTCAGAGATCAACCAGATGAACTCTCACAGTTTAGCTATGGTATTTTCATCCTATTTGTTTCAAACTAAAGGACAAACTAGTGAAGAAGTAAATGTAATTGAAGACCTAATTAACTATTATGTTGAAGTGTTTGAGGTAAATATACATACACTATCTAAATTTAGAGAATAAATTTTGATGACCCTGTTTGTAACCTGGAAATTTGGTTGTGATTGTGGTATGTTTCACATGTCTGACAAAGCAATCTTTATGAATCTTTTTTTTTTTAACAAATTGAGTATATTTCCTCAAAGTTGGCAGAATTAAACTCTTTAAAACTACGGCCATTCATTTAAATTCAGGAAGGTTTTAGAATTTCCTTACCATCTGGCATACATTGGACAGAATAATTCTACTTAGAGATTTTCTCTGATTAAATAAATATGTGTACATTAGATGTCTGGTAAATGTGTGGAATGAGTGAATTTTGTAAAACGAATAATAAATGTATTTAATTATGGTGTTGATTACAATTTATACTTTTTTTTCATATGACCCCTATTGGAAACAAGATACAAAAACATTTGTAAGATTTTTAAATTTGGCATATTGTAAAATAAAATTGCAATCCTTGATCTGAAAATTAGCACCACAGTATTGTGAATCTAATTGAAGCACCATATGGAATCTATTTTCATGAAATTACTGTAAATTTCCTATTAAGAAGAACATAAGGTATTATTAAGAATAAATCCTATAGCAACACATTTTATTTTAGTTATACAGGAGTACACTCTATAGTTTCATAGGTGTTTTATGCTTCTTGGTTCTCTTTTTCATATAGATAGATACATAGATATCATTTGAGCCAGTAATTCAAAGTTGTTTCTAGTGGAAGGCCTGAGGAGAAAAGCAAAAAGAAGTAGGAAATCAGTATTTGTAGGCATCATACCTTGTTACTGTTTCTGGCTAGTTAAATGCTGAGAAAATGAATGGTTAAAAATGAAGCTTTGTTATGATCTTATATATAACAACTATTAAAGTGATGGAAATTTCATATATACTACCTTTCAAATTGAGAAAACGGTGTCCCAAAACCTTTACAAAACACGAATCTAGTCTACACGTTTAACCAACTGCTTTACTTATTGCTAAGTGTCTTTGCAATATCATGTCTTTTGTCAGAAGCATCAGTAGCCTGAAGAAGTATATAGAACAACTACAAATTATTGTTCTGGACTTGTTTGAAACCTATTACTCTGGTGGCTTGATTCTAGCTTTGGTTTTTGAACCCTTTCCAATTGAAATGACTGCTCTAATTTTTTTTTAGCTTGATTGTTTTTTACTAGATAAGATTCCTGAAGAATTATCCAACTGATAGCCAATGTGGCTATTTTTATTATTCATGAATGAAAATTATCTGATTTATGTTTTCAACAGGTTAAAGAAGATCAAGTTAGGCAAATGGATATAGAGAACAGCTTTATTACTAAGTGGAAAGATACTCAAGTAAGTAGTAGTAACCAGATGTGCAATAATTATTTCATTAATTAAGATTTTTAGGTGTTTTTGTCTTCAAATTTTCTTTGCTTCAGAAAGTAATTTAGATCAAAAAATGTGATTGTTTTTTCTGTAGATTCATACAATGACATCTGCCTATGGAGAATTTGAAATTATTACTGCAAATCTAAGGGTTAGAATGTCTGAGAAATTTCAAGGACAACTCAAGTGTAAAGAAAGGTTTTGAAAGAGTGTCAGTGAAAAACAGTGACTTGAACATTATCACACTTACATTACATGGCTTAATTATTAGATTGTAGCATGAATTAGACAATGTCAATCACTTCTCCCCTGCTTTTGCTCTAATTGTTTCCAAATTATTTTATTAAGAACACTATGATTTCCCTTACTTTATAGAGAAGACAACTTAATTTTTCCAAAAATTTTTCTTTTTTAAATCCCTTCCTCTGTGGAAATCTTTTTATTTTTATCAGAATCAACCTCAGATTAGTATCAGTACCTCTATTCACATAGAATTTTGTATTTTCCAAATATACCTTGCTTTTGTATATTGCATGTAAGCATAATATGTATATTCTATAAATCTTTTAGAAGTTTGTTGATAATTAACATTAGTATATTAACTAATTAATTATATTAATAACTTAATACTAAAAATTCTATATTGTTAATATCAATACACAATGAAGACTATAAAATTGAGCTCTTTAATTCATGTAAAAATAAACCAAAATATCCTAGTATGTTCATTACTGGATAGGTTACAGGCTCATGAAATCATTTATTATGAAAGAGGTCATGAGGTCAAGATGTTTTTCTCCAACCAGCCCACATGCCCCAAGACTACTGTTAGCCTTTTTGAATGTAATCTGAAGAAATTCATGCAGTTTCTTAAAGGATTCATTTCAGCCCTGGAAGAATATGTGTCTCATTGTCAATTCTGGAAACACTGAACTTTTTGATTTTGATTTGTTTATAAAAATTTTAATTTAATTTATTAACTAAGAATTTAAGTTTTAGATAAAATAATTGTAACTGAGTACTAGTCTGCCTGGAGTAATATTGTTCAAATTTAATGTGACAATTTATTGTATATTATTTCTTATATGCATTAACAAACAAGGTCAAGTTTTTCTAATTAAACAGGTTACAGAACAGGGAAAAGAGTATTCTCCAAAGTACAGTATTGTATTGTATTGTATTGTATTGTATTGTATTGTATTGTATTGTATTGTATTGTATTACATTGTATTATATTATATTCAAACACACTTAGGAAATACATTTCTTTAAATTTTCTGTAATCCATCAAAACCTGTTCTCTAGAATATTTCTTATGATATTTCCTATGTCATTCACCTTTTGAATTATTAAGTTATTCTTCCTTTGGGCTTTATTTTATAAGTAGTTCTGGTATCTGTTTTAATTTTTGAAATATGTCCTTCCTGCAGACTTGTTTATGCAAACAGTGAAAATCAAAATGTCAGTAGCATCCTTTTTTTCCCCAGTATTTTTCTGACACACCATCTAAAAAGGAAAAAAAAAACCAAGAAGCTTTTCTAAGCTTGCTGTCTGAATAATTAAAATTATTTTTTCAAAGCACATTTTTAACATTTCCCTGGCAAATATTCCCTTTAAGTTCTTTTCTTTGAAGCAAATTTAACTATAGTCATTATTTCTCCATTATGACTTAATTTTTTTTTGTGTGTGTTGTATTTTTTTCTGAGTTGGCAGCATGTTGTAAGAAAATATCTGTGAAAGTATCAAAATATTCCTCATAGCCTTATTTGTATTCCTATTAATTTTTTCAGTATTACACTATCCGTATAGCCTAATCCTGTACCTTTTCTTTCTTGACTTCCTCTCTCTTTATTATTTATCAGCCATTCCTTTTCAGAATAATCACCAAGATAACTTGTCTCTCTAAGGCTGACCCAGATACTAAATCAAATCCATTAAAAAGGAAAGAGTAGCCTTTTTTTTTCCCCTAAAGCCTATATTATCAATCTACCACATTAATCTACCCCCTCCATACACTGGAGCCTTGCAGTATAAAATTAGATTCAGTATCATTTCCTTTAACATAATTTACTTTTTCCTTCCCTTTTTAGTCATTTATACCTATTTTTCAACTTTAATTTATGCCCAAATCTCAACTCATTGAATGTACTTCCCTTTATAAGCATCTGGAAGGATAATTTTCCATGTGATTGGATGATTTTCTTCTATTTTTGTCATTGATATTAGTTCTATTGATTAAAACATAATTGTATATGACTCATTTCCTTTCCCTTTACAAAACCTATTACAGTGGATGTAACTTAAGCTGTTGTGGAAAACATATTTTGTACCAGATCATGTTCTCCATTTTATTTTAGGGATTTCAATCAGTGGGATAAAGCATTGAACTGGAAGCAAAAGGAACCCATGTAATTGTGAATCTGTTCTCAGACTGTTTGTCTTTTCAACTTTTCAGATGGAAAAAATGCTGGATATCAAAGATAGTTTGGCAATCATAAACATGAGTCCTACCTCAAGAGAATTAAGATAATTGAAAAATAGTTAAAATGAGTTCAGTTTTTGTGGAATCTTTACGATGAAAAATTATTTATTATCACGTGGGTATTGTACATCTTTCTTTATATATTTCCTTTAGGTTTCACAAGCTGGAGATTTGCTCATTGAAGTATATGTTGAAAGAAAAGAACCTGACTGTAGCATCATAATAAGAGTGAGTATCTTTAAGTCATATAAAAGCTACTATTTTATATTCATTAAGAGTAACTGAAATTTTCCTAAATTTTCCTAAATTTCTGATAACACCACATTTTAACAAATGTTTTAGAACTGAAGCCTGATTTGTTTCCAGGATCCTCAGTCTCTGTGGTTCTTATTTGAAGTCTAGCATGGTTCTGTCATTAAAGTATTCTGGTAGAATCATGCTTCTAGAGCTAGAAAGGATCATCAGGATTTTATATGGTTTGGGGAGAGGAATGAATTTTTTTTTGTGTTTACCATTGTTTCCCAGGTCATAGCAATTATTACTGAATAACTGAATTTTAGTGTGGTGAAAATATCTTAGAACTAAACTAGTTTCTGTATTAGATGGTAAACTCCATGGGGGCAAAGATTGTTCTGGATTTCCATGAAATTCTCAAACCTCTAATGCTTTCTCCCCCTACCTTCTCTTAGCTGAGAACTTTGCCCCATATTTTACAGAAAAAAATTGAGGCCATTTGCCATGAACTCCCTCTTCTCTCCTTCATTTCCTATCACTCAGGCACCTTCTGTGACTCTCTCCTTCACTGCTGTCTCACATGATGAAATGACTGTACTCCTTACCACAAGGCTAAGCCTTCAACTTGGTCAAGCTTCCCCGTTCCATCCAGTCTCTCCAACAGATTGCTCCCTCTGTCAATCTCACTCTTTCATTTATTTTTAATCTCTTCCTGTCTACAGGCTTATTCTTTACTGCCTACAAACATGCCCATATTTCCCCATCCTGAAGAAACCCTCACTTGATCCTTCCATCCCTGCTATCGTCCTATGTCTCTTCTTCCCTTTGTAGCAACACTCAAAAGACATCTACAATAGGTGCTTCCACTTGTTTTTCTCTCACTCCCTTTTTCACCCCTTAGCATCCAGATTATGTTCTTATCATTCCACCAAAACTGTTCTCTCTAAAGTTCGAATTATCTCTTAGTTGCCAAATCCAGTGGCTTTTTCTCAATCCTCTTTCTCCTTGACTGCTCTGCAGCCTTTGACATTGTGAATCCCTCTCTCCTCCTAGATACCCTCTTCTCCCTTAGCTTTTGGTATACCACTCTCTACTAGATTACCTAACCATTCTTCTCAGTCTTCTTTGCTGGATCCTCTTCTGGGTCACACTGTTTAACCTTAGGTGTTTTTCAAGGTTCTGTCCTGGGCTTCTTCTCTTCTCTTCTCTTCTCTTCTCTTCTCTTCTCTTCTCTTCTCTTCTCTTCTCTTCTCTTCTCTTCTCTTCTCTTCTCTTCTCTTCTCTTCTCTTCTCTTCTCAATTAAACTCAGAGATCATCTAATCTATTCCTCTCATCTTATAGCGAAAGAAATTGCTTTTGTGGGTATATATGAATTACTTTTTTTTTCAATTTGATCATCTATAGAATCAGAATTGAAAGCTTGGAGGATAACTTTTGATTTGTAGCCATCATCACTCCAGCTTTGTAAGCCCACTTTTCCCACTCCCACCTCTTTAAGCCCTCCTGCAAAAAGTGACAATTGTGTTGTTGCTGTTGTAACATTACTTAAGTAAAGTTATTTAAATGATCTTTCTCTTGTTATTTCTGAGTGCCACAGACTATCTTATTCTCTTGGGTGCTGAGATTTTAAAGCTCGTGGTTCAATATAGTTGAGGTTTTGTTTTTCCCTAGAACTTGATATAACCATATTTCTGGAAAGTAAACATCTTTAGACAGGATATAATATGCACTTACATTAAATTCCACCGGAGACAAAAAACATAATGTATGAGTAACATTATTTTGTACCATACACATTCACACATTTATGTATGGAATATGTTAATATTCACTAATGTGGTATAAATAGAAATGATCAAGCTAAAAGACCTCAACCCCAACACATCAAGTAACATAGTTCAATAAGAAAATGCACATTATTCTGCAGTTAATAAAATTTGTCTCTTGAAAAATCCAATTTCTTCGCCTCATATTTATTTCTCATTATAACTGAATTGCATCTGATGTTTTCCAGCCTTAGTTTGAGGCTGGTAACTACCCTCAGTTGAGCAGCCTAGTCTCTCTGAAGGAATGCACATTTGTGGGAGTGCCTGAGGCTTTGGCACTTCACAAGAGCAAACCCCAAAGATAATGCAGTGGACTCCTTACTGTCTCTTGGTGGTCTTATCCTCACATTCATTGGCAGACACCCATCTGTCTTTTCCCATAAAAAGGATGTCACTGAGTGTTTTAACCCCAGGGTGTTCTGGCTTGCTCTGCTCGGACTCAACTGCTGCATGATAGGCACAATCAAAGAGCTATGTAAAACTAGACTATTTTCTACTAAATTGAAAAGCCTAAAGCCATTTCTTTTTGGGGCTATTGGAGTGTGCTTGGACAGAATAAGCTTATTCATGTCCAGGCAGAGTCTCCCTTCTGTAGAACATGTGGATGCTGGTGTATCCTGATCAGAATACTTATTTCTTCTATCTTTTTATATATCAAAGCATAATATGTCTGCATATTATACATATTGGAGAATGCCTTATATTTCCAAAGTAAAAAAATCTCATGCTTCTATTTTTTCCAGAAGAAAACAAAAAAAAGTTTATATTTATAGAAATAAAATTGATTTAAAAACAACAGCAGCAACACATTTGAGGAAGAACCGGGAAACCAAAAATGGGTCATTGGTGTTCTAATACAGCCTTACTAATCCATCTGTTGTTATGATCTGACAAAAATGCTGCTTATCTTCTAGATATCACCTGTAATGGAAGCAGAAGAATTGACAAATGACATATTAGCAATAAAGAATATCATCCCTGCCAAAGGGGATATATGGGCTACATTTGAAGTCATTGAAAATGAAGAACTTGGTGAGCAAATTCTGTGGTATTTATGGCATTCCAATGAAAGAATTAGCATTGTATTTGTGTGATATCTTAGTGACAATAGTTTTTTATTTATTTTTTTTAAGATAGTAAATTGTTTGCAAAGTTGATTCCATCCCTTCATGGAAAATGTCTTGAGTATTATTAGGTGGACTACCATCTACTATTTTTTTTTTTAGTTGAAGCAATTTGATGAGTTTAGTGACCACAAAATTGTATAGTAGCTACAGTCTTACATGTTGTTCTTCCTTTTTTTTAACTATGTTTTTTCAATCAGTAAAATTCTCCTTTCTTTCCCTTCTATTTCCCCCATTGAGAATGAAAGAAAAACAAAACTTATTTTGTGAATATTTATAGACAAGGAAGGTACAGATAGATAGATTTATAGATAAAAGCATTTCCATGTTGGCCATCTTCCCCTATCCCCCCCAAAAAAGACATATGTTTATGTGCATGTATATGCACATATACATATGTGTGTATGTAAACATATTAGTCCTCTAGAATCACTAGTCATTATACTAATTAAAGTTCCTAATTCTTTCAGAGTTGTTTGTCTTTATCGTATTATTGTCATTGTATAAATAGTTCTTCTAATTCTATTCACTCTATAGCAGTAAGTCTTCCCAAGTTTATCTGAAACCATCCCATTATTTTCTTATAGCATGGTAGTATTCCTTCATATCCCTATACCACACTTGTTCAACCATGGCCCGAAATATGGACACACCCTCAGATTCTCAATCTTTGCCACCTCCAAAAGAACTAATCATGCTTTTGTACATGTTCACAGTTTGTTTTCCTTAGGAATAATTCCTCTCTTAGTCTACCCTATGTCTAATTGCCCCTTCTCCCCTTTCCTTCCTATTTCCTTCTTGAGTAAAATGTATTCTAAACCCAACATTTAGGTGTGTGTGTGTGTGTGTGTGTGTGTGCATTCTTCCAAGTGTCAGCCACTTATCTTTTTACTTGTATGTACAGATAAGTGTCTGCTTGCATACCTGACTAGTGAGATAAATTTCCTTAGCCTTCCTTTTCTTTCCCCCACCCCTTACTGTATACCACTTCTGTGTCTTTTCTTTCTTCTCTCAAAATCATGAAAACATCACAAAATACTTCTGTACTTTAACTAAACTCCCTTTGCAACCTGTGTTGATTATAGGCTTCATAGGGAGCACATATATTATCTCCTTATATTAGAAAGTAAGCAATTTATCCTTGTTTAGTCCTTTACAATTATTTATTTGTGGTTACTTTTATCTCTTTCTCTTGACTCTTGTGTTTGAATTTCAAAATTCTACACAGAGCTGGTCTTTTCATCAGGAATGTTTGGGAGTTCTTTGTTTCATTAAAGGTCCATTTTTCTCCAAACTCTGCTTTTTTATATCAGTGGCTGATAAATCATTTATGTCTTTACCATGGATTCTCAGCACATGAATTATTTTTTTTTTTGTCTGCATGCAATATTTTTCATTGACCTAGGAGAACTCTAAATTTTATCTATAATGTCCTTGGAAGTTTTGTTTTGGGATTCCTTTCAAGGGTGGCCATTAGGCTTTATTTCCACTTTGCCCTTTTGTTCTTTTAAAAATTTTAGAAACATAATGTCTAGGCTATTTTTGGTCATGGTGTTCCAGTAGTTCAGTGAGTCCTAATTATTTTCACCTCTGTCTTCCAAGTTATTTTTTGTTGTTGTTGTTGTTGTTACAAACTACCTAGCATTGTCTTCTATATTTTCAATTTTTTAAACTTTATTTTAATATATGGAGTCATTTGCTTCTATTTGGTCCATTCAGATTTTCAGGAAGATTATTGCTTGGGCAAGGTTTTGTTTCTCTTGTGCCAAGCTATTGATTTGCTTTCTGATTCTTTCTCCAATACCTCTTAGTCCTTTTCCAATTTCTTTTCCTCAAGAACTAGCATTTTATTAATAATTTTTTTTTAAATTCTTACTTCATCTCCTCTAGGAATTCTAGGTGAATTTGTGTTTATGCTGTGTTTTTTTCTTTGTGGCTCTGCTGACCCAAGGTCAGAATCTGAACTTAGATACTTCCTAGCTGTATGCACCTGGGCAAGTTACTCAAACTCTATCTGCCTCTGTTTCTTCAACTGTAAAATGAGGATAGTGATAGTTAGGGTTGTTGTGAGGATCAAATTAAAAAAACTAAGCACAGTACCTACCATATATTTTGGCACTTAATAAATACTTATTTCCTTATTCTTTTCCTGATCCCCAAAAAATACAGTTTTACAAAATGTAGCACATGTGTCAGACTTCACTCTGACTTTACTTTTATCTTTCTTATATCAGATTCCAGGTAGGGGTCTTCACCGATATAATCAAAATCTCCTAGTAGATTTCAAAAACTTGTCTAATGAATGTCCAAACTACTTGTCCTGACTCTGACACTCAGTCCTCTTATTTAGGGTTCTGGGATTTTCTTTGGGGAAGAGAATGACGCCAGCACAGAAAATTGTAGGTCCCCAGTCTAAGCTGTTCCTGAGATCTTAAGCAAATACTATACTCAATAGCCAATGGAATATGCATGATATTAACAAATGACAAATTTAATGACAACTGAATTCCAAATTTGGCATAGTTTAGATGTTGGATCTCCTCCAAGAGGGACATAAAGAGAAATAAAAGGTATTTTTTAATTGTTTAAGTACTTTTGGCATGGTACTAGGGAAGCAACAAAGACATTTGGGATTGCTAGCTTATTTTTAAGAATTATTCTCTGCATGTACTATCTGATTTTCCAGAATATTGAAAGCTTTTTTTCCAGCAATATATGAAAAATAGAATGAAGTAGAAGAGAAAAGTAAAGGAATAAATAGATAATTAGAGAAGAAAGTAGGAATTATTACTTTTTGTGGATTTAAAGGTAATAAAAAAATTCGAGTTCCTTAAAAGTTACAAAGAGTTTTCCTCATACCAAATGTATGATGTAGTTGGTACAAATAATTTTATACATATTATGCAAATAAGCAAATGAGGTCACAAATGCAAAATACAGTTACATAAGATTACAGTGTATCATAAAGTCATTATAATATTCCAACTCAAATCTTTTGACTCTGTGACCAAGAATATTTGTACTTTAGGACGTTAGTCTTAAGTCAAGATGAAGGATGAAATTAAAAGAACACTGATATACTATTTTAAAGTATCTTAAAAGACATACAGTATTTAAACATTTTGCCAGTTTCCTCCATAGGAGTAATTCAGTTAGATTAATCACTTAGAGTTCTGTTATTATGAAAGGACTGGACTAGAGTTACCTAAAGTATTCATAACATTCTGAAATGAAGACTTTTCTGTCCAGAATCTACATTTAGATTTTAGTGTCATTTATTTTATTTTAACATTGTTTATTTTATTTTAGTATTAGAATTTATTTTAGTGTTAGAATAATTCTGTATCTCTTTAAAATTGTTAAATGTGATTGTAATGTTGTAAAATTGATATACAGTAGAAATTACTAAATATATATGTGTATGTTTATCAAGCATCAAAAATGCATCTACATGATTTCTCAATATCTTGTTGATTTTCTAATATATATTATTTCATATTAAAAGACATTTCCCCTTTGTTGAAAGTACTTCCTTGGAAAAGTCGGAATTGGTAAAGATTTCAAATATCATCTAGTGTAATTTCTCTCTTTCCTTTTTGTCAGGAAACCAAAAAAATCCCAAAACAACAAAAACAAATGAATAAACAATATAGGATGTGCTTATTGAAGCATGATGAGCAATTGTAACTAGCTCCTAGTCACATTTTTTAAAGCCAGATTTCATATTATTACTTTTCTTTCTTTTTTTCTTTCTTGAGTTATTGGAGTTAGCTATTTATGTTGAACATCTCCATACCTAACTAGTCCTCAAGAAACACTAAATCCATTTCATCACTACACCTTTTTAACATCATTATTTTTCCAGTGCTTTGTGAGCCGAAGGTCATGGAGCAATGAAATCTTCAAAGAAAGGAAATTTAAAATCACCCACAGGCCATTGGAAAGGTACATAGGTGGAAGATGTGAGCAGGTTGCAAAAGAGAAGAAACAAAGAATTATAAAGGAGAGGAGACATAAAATAAAAATAAAGGAGAAGTAAAATAAAATTTAAAAAAAGTCAGCTGGTCATGTGGCAGGAGTATGGTATAACTGTTGGACACTCCACAGTTTTTCACTGATTTCCTCTCACTATTAAAATAAATTGAAGAAATCTATTTATTGAAAATCTATTTATTGAAAATACCCACATCAATCAATCAGTAAACATTTATTAAGCACCTACTATATGCCAGGCACTGTGCTAAACATTGATGAGATCATAAATCCATTTGAGTTGTCTTCTTTCTGTAAATTAGAATACTTTATAATGTTCTAAGTTATATTTTGTGATGTTCTTATTTTAACAGATGAAAATAATATTGGTGATAGGTTATTTTGAGATATATTAAAGTTTCTTGCATTTTTAAATTGTGAGGTGATGACTTTGGGTTCTCTATCAGGTTCAAGAAGCCTATGAAGGTTTCAATTTATGGCCCCAACAGTAGGCTAAATCAGCTTTTGAGTACCCAGCCTAGTTAAGTATTGTGAATTTAGTCATAAGTAGTCTGACCATTTGGTGATAGTTCTTTGGCTGTGGCAACCCATGAGATAAGTACTGTAGCATACTTCAATAATAGCATTTATGTTTATGTAGTGTACACTTCTGATTTGCTTAAAAATGTCAATTTCTTTCTCTAAATCTACTTGTTTTTTTTTTTAATGAGTATTTACAAAAGCATAAAGGAGACATTTTACTCAGTATTGAATAAAAGCTACCATTAAGCTCTTTTCTTTTTGCCACCATGTCAACACTATAAGGCTATTTGGTCATTTCCGATGATTAGTTTTTTGATCACTCACACTGTATCACATTTTATGCAATGATCATATTTTAGAATTTCATATTGGTTGACTTATGACAGTATGTAATTTAAACATTTCATTGTTATCAGTAAAAAGTGACTGGTCAACATTTATGGCCCAGGTGTTCATATTGTAGATTAAAAGAGTATAAGTTGGTTTTATTCATTACTGTGCAAAATATTATTTTAAAATTATTGAAGTTACATGTGTAATAGGAAAAAAAGTGAAATGTGATTTATATAGAAAATAAGAGGGTATAAATGAACAATGGTGGTCTTTTATTTAAACTCTTTTTTATCTGTCATATCCCAGTGATTACCTGTAGATAACTCACTTGTAACAAAAGGCACAATTAAGCAAGGAGAAAAAAAAATCAACACATGCCTCATTTCATGCCTATAGTCTTCCAACTTTCTGCAGAAAGAAGGGACACAAATTCACCATTAATCAGTCCTCTTAAATCACAATTTGTCACTAAGTTCATTACAGTTCAGTGTTTTTTTTTTCTTTATATTATTGTGATCATTGTGTAAATTGCCCTTAATTCACTATGAATCAGATTATACAAATTTTCCCAAGCATCTCAATACCTCATTTGTTATTTCTTACAGAGTTATAATGTTCCATTGCATTTATGTGCCATAAAATTTTGGAGCATTACAACCTGGGAGCATGATAAAATTCTTTTAAATTTAAAGCTCTCTTATACATTTATAATATTTTATTTATAGTACTGTAAGATATATATAGGTCTCCAGAAATTCATAAATCCTTTAAAGACTGAAGGGAGGTACATTGTTACACATACATGTGTATATATATATATATATATATATATACATACATATATGCTTTTGCAATCAGTATTTAGCCTATTGCATTATTATTTGTCGTTGATTATTTACTTTTTAAGACATAGCTAGATAATGCAGTGGATAGAACATTGGACCTGGAGTCAGGAAGACCTGAGTTCAAATTCAATCTCAGATACCTACTTGCTTTGTGACCTTGGTCAACTCACTTAACTTCTGTTGAACTCACTTTCCTCATCTGTAAAATGGGCATGATAGTAATAGCACCTACCAATAAAGGGTGTTAAGAGAAAAAAATAAGATAATATTTGTAAAGCACTTTGTAGACATTAAAGTGTTGTGTAACCGCTAGCTATTGATAACAGTCTGAGTCATTGTTTTACCTTTCCTATTTTTTTTCCCAGAGCGCCCACTTCACTATACTGAGAATGTGCTAGAACAAGTACTTCAGTGGAGCTCATTAGCAGAGCCTGGCACCGCGTACTTGGTGGTGAAGAGATTTCTAACCATGGATGTAATTAAACACTACAATGGTACGTGGCATTCCTTCACTTCCAGTTTTTATAGACGGTTGATATTTTGTTACTAAATCCCCAGAGATTCCCCATCCACATTTGCAGCTCTTTTACATGAAAAGAAGAATGGCAAGAGACACTAACACCAGGGAACACTTTTACATTCAGAATTGTGCCTTTTAAATAAAATATAAGTACTATTTACCAAGAAATGTACTTAAAGAAGCCAGTTTTTTTGGTTATTTTCAAAACAATTGCAAACAGATATCTTTAGCTGAAATTTATGATCAGATTATTTATCCTTTACATTGATGTACACCTGAGTTTGTTTTTTTAAATAATGATGTCTTTCAAAAATGTCTTTGACCAAATTTTAAAAATAATCTCTGAAGTCATGAGTTTTCCCCTTAATTGTGCCTTACAGCCACAAGAATTCTGTAAATATTTCCTATGTGGGTGTGCTTTGTACTTTGGGGGATAGTTAGATATTCAGTTTACTTTGTCTTTGTCTTGGCAAATGCCTTCTGAATCAATCACAGTGACCACCTACTCTAGAATGACTGCTCTATTCATTCTATCCTATACACCTTGAAATTGAGATCTTAAAGGAAAATAATGAAAGCAAATCAAATGTAATTTCTCTGTCAATTTGTTACCAGAAAAACTGGCATCATTGCAGAAATATTTATTGCTCTGCAATAGTACAGAAAAGAAGCAATGGTAAGGATCTGTGTGGGTGTGCATTATACAAACACACACACATAGACACACACGTACATATATATACAGATACACACGTATATTTAGATACATGCATATATGTGTGTGTATATATACACATGTGTATATGTATGTATCTCTTTGTGTCTGTCTATCTTTCTCTATATATATGGTTTTTCTATTCTGTCTTGAAGAGAAATCAGCAGAGCTAGTAAACAAGAAAAGTTGGTTGTAACCAAATTTTATTTTAATAATAAAAAAGCTTGTGTTAGCAGTTCCACAAAAATCTAATGGTTATTTGCAAAGTTTATATAAACTAGCAAATTTCCTTACCACTCCTACACTCCAGTACCTAGAACATGAACAATATACATCATTGGATGTATTAAGTGGCTTAAAAAAAATTAAAAACCTGTGTGTCTTGCATTTCATTGATTCTTTTGAAGGAGATTTAACAATAGATGCAGAATAAACCTTACAATCTATGCACTCTTTTTTATGTTGAGTTAATATATCTTGTTCACTCAAGGATTTTGGCTAATATGCACGCTGCTGTTGTTTTAGTATTAAATTTGTTCATCTGCTTCTAAATAAACATAATTTAAGAGGAAAATGTGACAAACAAGTGAAGATTTTAGAATTCTAAGCTCTGCATTTCTGCTCAGTCTTCCAAGATAATGAAGTAACATTTGTTTCCTTTCTGGAAGGAGATGATGCATCTGTTGGTTTCACTTAAAATCAATTCCATTTTTCAAAAGGAGCATTTTGTTTCATATATCCTTTCATAACTTTGGTGTCCCTCGTGATAAGGAGTTAATTAATTTGATGAGAAACAAAATAATCCTCACATTTCTCCTCTACTAGAACAGCCCAACTTCACTTAAATTTTCATTCAGAGTTTGTCATAACTAATCTTATTAGGTCTTAAAATATTTTTGTTATTCTTAATGCAGAAGTTAAATTATTAGTAAATATTATTATTTAAATTATTAGTAAATATTGCTAAAATATTTTCTTTTAGCAATAATATTTGAAATATTTGAAAAACAAGTATATGATAAGATATATAAAATTTAGGAATGAACCAAGGTTGCTCATTACAATTAATCTGTTTACTTGCCTCTTAGCAGTGTTTTCATTTATTTATTTTAGTCGTGTATATTGTTCTGCTTGCCTTGTACCAGTTCAAGTCTTCCCATGTTTCCCTGAATTCCTTCTATTGGCTGTTTGTTATGACACAATACTATTCCAGTATGTTTGCGTGGCATAATTTGTTTAGCCATTCTCCTTGTTTGAGCACCTTTTTTGTTTTGATTGTTCATATTTTGGTGTATATATAGGACCACTTAGCATGGCAGGCCCATTTCAGAGAAGGTGCTGTGCTCTATGAGCAAAGCAGAATTGAAATAGCTCAAAAGAAATGCAAGGTGTGCAAATTCAGAGAATCTACCCTAAATGTTCACATGGACTATTTGTGCCCAACCTTTGGTAGAAGATTCCAAGTTCGTATTAGTCTGATCAGCCACAGTTGTACACGTTGAAACTTGACTCTAGCCTAGTGATGTCATTTTGGTCCTCTTCGAGAATAAAGGACAGCAACCAACCAACCGATGGGTTCTTTCTCTTTTACTTTCTTGGGTTATATTTTCTTGTAAGATCATTAGGCTAGAAGTATGAACAATTCATTAATTTTTCTCATATTATTCCAGATTATTTTCCAGAATGGAGTTTACTTGTCTTTCTATATTCCTTCCAACAAAGACTTTTTAAAAGCTAGAGGAATTTTAAGTTATGTTCCATAACTCAGTGTATCCCTATGGGTTCTAATCATAGTTTCCCACAAATGACAGATGCTCTTGAATTAAATTTGTATAAGAAAAGAATGCTTCAAAATGGTATTTCTGTTGGCAGAATGTAACTTTGGAAATCAGAGGCAGATGCTATCAGCATATTATAGTATGATTCCATCAACCTTGGTCTTAATGAAAGCTTTGTATATTTTATATTCCCCTGTGACAACCTCAGTACAAAGAGTTCTGGCAGGTTGAGAAGTCCTAATCTTCAAGGAGAGATCTTTTCTTTGAATTTATTTCTAGTTTTCTGACATTCAGAAAACAATATCAGTGTTTGCCTTTATCCTGACATCTTCTATTCAGAAGAGCATGAAACAAATACTTATTGAATATCTCATATGTAAAACATTATTGCGGGAAGTGTAGTGAATATAAAGATCAGTTAGCCTGAGTATCCCCTTCCCAGACTTGGCCATTGTCTTTTTTTCTAATTGGGGAATAATATATACATGTGTGACAATGCAGACCACAAAGCAAGGCAATAAATGATCAATGCCAAATTAATAGTGTAGACAGTGTGTTACAGAAATTCATAGGAAGGCAAAAGAATTTCCAACTTCTGAGGGTACTCAAAGGAAATGAAAATTGATTAGAGTCTGAATGTATAAAAAAAGAAGCATAGAGAGCATTTTAGATTGTGGCAGCAATGTAAGCCAATGTGTAAACAACAAAGAATTTTCCCCCAACCCACTAAAAATGGTCTGTTAGAAATCATGATTGGTTTATGTTAACAAGTCTAATTAATCTTACTTGGAATTATAGAATGATAGTGAGAGAGATCAGGAGATATTTCTAATAATACTAATGGTCCTGTGAAGAAGGTGATGGTAACACTAGGTGCTCATAGTGGCAAGGCTTTGAGTTCCCATTCTGGCCTCTACATTAATAGGGATAACTATGGTACCATGTTATGAAAGTGTTTATGTTTACTTCATTGTTGTTACTATTCAATTTCGCTGATCACCCAAGCACCCAAGTAGGGCACCAGAAATATTATCAGGAATCCTATACCCCTGTTTTTATTGGTTAGTGCAAGAGAAGCAGGTCTAGCCTTCTTTAGGATTAAGTCTGTATGTGACCAGTAGACTGTATGCCACATATCCCACTTGACGGAGAATGCTCTCTAGTACCTATGACTTCTCTTCAAGCAGTAGAGGCAAGAGACTCGGGTTTATTCTTGAGTCTAGAACCTATGGTCTGTGCAATGCTAAGCAAGTCATTTATCTTCTTTGGGGCTTAATTTTCTAATCTGCGATCTAAATGGTTTGGACTAGAGGATAACTTCTAGCTTCAAGTCCGTGAATCTGTGATCTTATTAAACTGAAGCATGGTTTACCCTGCTGCCATTATACAATAAATCAATACACATTTCTTGAGATGATACTTTTCTCTTATCATTTGTGAATAGGTTCTTTCATGTATTATATACAGATTGAAAAAGTCATTAATGTGAGTGAAACCTAGATTCTGTAAACTATTTATAAAAAGATTGATCATAATTTTTAAAATTTAACTAAAATCTTGTCTTAAAACAGATATGTTATCAGGGAAATAATCTATATTTCTTGTTTTCTATTGGATCAATTCTATTTAATTGATACAATTTTCAATATAACAATCATTTATGGATTATAGTCTGGTTGGTACTGTGAACTATTCCCACTCCAGTATGATTCACCTAGAAAAATAACAAAGTAATATATGATTGGCAGAGAAATATTTTACTTATGAAGATTATCCAGATGGGTTTTTTTGGTAGATGTTATTACAAGTTACAATGTAGTTTAGATTTTACTTATTTGTGGAACTGTCCCATTTTCCTCAGAGACTGGAAAGGCTTCACCAAGAACCAGATGGGCCAATAATGTATTGAGAAATAGGTTTTTATCAAAATGTTTTGATACCTGAAGGAAGATCATAGTGGGAGAGAGGTGAATGCAACTGAGTCTTGGTTTCTAGAGGGGTCAACCACCAGAACCTTGGATGCACTAAGACTTGGCATAGTCAGATGCCATTGATATTTTTACATTTTTCCTCATTTATATGATGGATGCCTCAATCCTTTATGGTCTCCACAACAGGGCAGCTATCACTTCATAGTCATCATGGTTTTTTTTTTTTAAATAGTAAACCATATCTTTTCTTTTGAGTCATATTATAATAAAGGGAACATAACCAGTGACTAGTAAGTGCCATTCTCGATTTCCAGGGAGCAAGGAGTAGTTTTTAATAGTTTTACAACAGTTGCTGATAGAAAGTGTATCCTAGAGGCAGTGAGGTGGTGCAATGGATAGAGTACCGGCCCTGAAGTCAGGAGGACCTGAGTTCAAATCTGGCCTCAGACCAAACACTTGACATTTACCAGCTGTGTGACCCTGGGCAAGTCATTTAACCCCAACTGCCTAAGCAAAAAAAAAAAGTGTATCCTAAAGGGCATGACTTTGAAAGAGTTTACACTAAATTCTTGAAGGCACAAGACCAAGAAAAAAGAGTACTGAAGAGTCATTCCTGGTAATATCTGCAACATTTTTTCATGTGAGGAATCATATTATATCAAAATCTAGTGCTTACTACTCTATTAATAACTAATGATGGGGGACCAGGGACTTAGGACACTGCACTTATTTCCTCTAACTTAGGGGCTATTGGACCAGGTTCATTTCTGAGGAATCCTGGCCTCTGCTGATAAAAGACCTAGGTTCACTTTTATTTTCCCACTCATTGCTTTAAAACTGGGAACAAATTTTTTAATGTTTAGATTTTGTCTGCTATCTAGAGCCTCCTGTTAATGAGGTAATGAAAAGGAACACAGTGTTTCATGTGAATCAAGTGTGGGACAAGTACTAATTTTCTACACAAAATAAGACTCCCCCCCACCAAAGAAAAAAAAAAAACCAGCACACCCTGATGGAATGACTCAAAACAGGATTCAGTAATTTATAACTTGTGTTACTTTCTGCGAGGAGGCTGATGCTTAATCCTTTTCTAAATGTAAAGCACTTTGCAGGAATTGCTGATGAGTCATTTTACATTTCACCTCACCTCTGCTTTGCTTTTCTAAATTGAGCATTTGTTGCCAACACACTAAGAAACACAATTTTCTAAGAAGAAGAAGAAACAACAGAGAAAGTCAGTGAATGTATAGTTTCTATTAGACCCAGTGTCTGAATTCAATTTGGTTTATCCTAGTTTATTTTAAGCTTTACACATATGGCCTGCTGCTTATTTTCAAGGATTTTACTGAATTAAACAAATCCAGAGAATGAGGAATGGGCAAAGCAACAATTAAAATTTGTACAGGATAGATAATAAAATAATCCAATGTAAATGCACATAGCATTCAGACTCTAGGATTTATAAACCATCTTACTTATTTTCTCACTTACTTCTGAAATGACCGTTTGAGATAAAACAAATAATATTTTCCCCATTTTATAGATGAATAAATTGTCTCATAGAAATGAAACAAATTGCCCTAGGCTCCCTACTTAATTAACAGTCAGAGCTGTGATTTGATCCCAGGGCTTTGAGTTCTAAACCCAATGCTTTTTACACCCAACCTATGTCTGTATTGGTCTTATAATGGTACAGATCAAAGTCCATTTAAATAAATAGTGCTAATTATTACATTCTCTGCTCCATTGTTCTCAATTAATTGTACCACTTCTACTTTTAACTGGGGTTTGTTATTTGGCCACTAATTTTAATTTTTTTTTTTTAAAAGTTCTCATCTTGTAAATTATTAAGCAAAAGAATTATATTTTTTCCAATATATCTTCTTAAACTCTAAAATATTTTAAAATTTGTCTACTTAATGATATCAACTATCAAAAAGGCAGAGATTCATAGAAATCTCTGGGGCTATTTTTTAAAGTTATTGGCTGAAAACATTGCATAATGCATCTAATCTGGGGAAAAGATGATCTCTGATCATTAATTAATAAAACTATCAGGGTTTACTAATTACCATTTTTGTTTCATGTCAGGATCAGTGAAGAGATTAAAAATTGTTGCTCTTGAGGAGTCTTATTTCCAGGTGACCACTTCAGTTTAATATTTGACTTGTGAAGAGTTCTTTATTTTTTCTTTTACTCCGTTAAAGAGTCCTTTCTCATGGTTATCTTTTTTATTTTTTTCTACAATCTTAAAAGAATGCTAGAAAATCCTCAAGCTTGCCTTTTCTATTTTCCATGAAGCTTTATGAACTTGCCATCTGTAGCACCTAAACAACCATGTAGCTCATCGGGATTTAGCTATTTGTGTTATAGCACTTGGAGGAAGCATGATTCTTAGAAAAGTAGACTATTTTCAGTACCAGTACAGAAGAAGAGAAGGTGATTGTTTTCCTTCATAAAATCTTTCTGAATATGACAACATCTCATTTAGTCCTTCTCTCAGTGAATGTGGTGGCCACATTGGAAAAATGATTTTAACTTATTTTCTTGTTTTAAGCCTATTATTTCTTGGTGCGTTTCCAAGAAATATGATGGGATGGAAAGGGGGCTGCCAGGTATTATTTGGAGTATCACAGCAGGAATTAGAGAAAAGGATATAGGAAAGAATTAAAAATTCTTAGTGTCAACTGAATAATTTTGTGTTTCAGTCCTCTTACATTAATGCTTTGCTCTTCCGAGATCTTGTAATGAGGTTATATTTTTTGATTGCCTCAAATATTTGCTATTATACACTTTGGAAGGAAAGTATTTCAGCTGATAACATTCAACAAGTGTGTATTCATGTTAAATATAATAAAAAGATAAATACTAATATAAATAAAATATAGACTCTCAGAGTTGCAAAGGATCTGAAAGGTTACATAGTGTGACTGGATACCCCCCCAGAGATGGGGAACTCACTATTATCTAACAGTTCAACCCATTACACTTTTAATAACTCTGTTCCTTAAGAAAGTTTTCATTAAAGGAAGCTGAATTTGAATCTTATCAGTCTTCTCAATTTCAAAACTAACATCTCTGTTCTTGAAACTGATCCTTTTAAGGAAGTTTTGACCAGTCTAATTATCATCTAGTTGTACTCTGGCTTGTTAATGTACTATTGAACATGCAAATCCTAGAACTAAGTGCTATAAATATAGTCTAACCTTGCTGAACCATCCCAGGCAGTATGGCGATCTATTAGTCCACACTTTGCTTTTTGGCTCCCACATTATAGTGTAAACTCATATTCAGCTTTGAGAGTTCAATAAGATGCCCAGGTCTCTTCCATAGTAACTATTGTCCAGTAATATCTTCCTCATCCTAAGGGAGTTTCATATCTTAAATATAGGACTTTCCATTTCACTGCCTATTAATGATTATTCATAAAAATATTTATTGCTAAGTATATCAGTACATTAGCTACAGATGCTTGATAAAGGGAGCTTAATGTTAAAGGAGATGGTATAGAGAACTAGATTGGAGTAAATGAAATTTTCTTTTTTACATCTATTTTTAGGTTAGTCTATGCTTTTCCATATGCTAAATATAAATAAAATGCCTACTATTTGGTTTGATAAACAATAGGTACTGATCTTTTTTTTTTATTAGATACCCAGGAGTCTTGCTATCAGGAATTGTCTCACTTACTAAATGTTTATTTCATTTATGTTTAATGTAAAGGAGTATCTGGTTCCCTACTGCTCCATCTGAGTCAGCTATATCTACTTAACCTAGTCTCTGGTTTTTCTATTCTTGTCCTTTTATTGGTGTTTTTATAATGCTATGAATTGAAGCTAAAATATTACACTTCAGCATTAGTTATCACCATTATCTATCAGCCTTTCACCTGAAAATTAATTTCAGGACCTCAGATCAAGGGGGATATATTGTGTGAATAAGCTTTCTATGATGTTAGAGTTCTAAAGTATTATATTATAGAAATGATATCAAGTTTAAAATGCTCTATATTGAATACATTTGTGAACATTTTTGTCTATTTTACAGAAAAGAGTGCAATGGAAAGTGTAAAAGAAGGAGTCTTGAAATTCAAGGAAGAACCTTCTAAAATATTGTCTGGAAGTAAATTTCAAGATCGGTACTTTGTTTTGCGAGAAGGCTATCTCTTTCTTTATAAAGATATAAAGGTATTTTATGTGCATTAAATAATGATGGATTTATATGTGTATTATTATATATGTATATATTCCATGTGTATATATTAAATGTTGTATTAGTTACCTAATATAGAATATCAGTACTATTAAATTGAACAGTTATTGAATTCACATTAATCAACTTCAATAAATGACATTTGAACTAAATTTTTAAGAAGAGACAAAAAAAATCCAACTGATAATAATTGAAGATTTCAGCACACTACTACCAGAATATGGTAAATCAAAGAAAGAAATTGTAGGCAAATAAAAAATTTGGATATTTATTTACATTTAAGAATTCATAAATTGATCACACTCTAAAGAACTTAGAAATTCAAAAAGGTAAAAGTTGTTAATGTTATTCTTATTGACCACACTGTCATTAAAAATAGTGATCAAGGGAGTGAGGGCTTCTAGGTGCCTTCAGTAGATAGGGGTCCCATGGCTGAAGTCAGGAAGACTCATCTTCTTGAGTTCAAATCTGACCTCAGGCTCTTACTAGCTGTGTGACCCTGGGGAAGACACTTACCTCTGTTTGCCTCAGTTTCCTCATCTGTAAAATGAGCTGGAGAAGGAAATAGCCAACTACTCCAGTATCTTTGCTGAGAAAACCCCAAATGGGGTCAGGAAGACATCACTGAAAAATGACTGAACAATCAAGGGAGTAGTAAGTAATAAAGGGAAGTATGACTAAAGGTTATAAACATGTAGTGAAATATTGCTGAGTGATGAAAAATAACAAATATAAAGAATACAAAGAAATATGGGAAAACTTAAAATAAGTGATGCAGAGTGATAAAAGCCGAGTCAAAAGAACAATATTCAATGCAATTATCTAAATAAATACAACAATAATGGCAACACAAAAATTTATAGATAACAGATTGAAAAGGTTTCTTGGACACAAATAGCAATTTTTACTTTTTTGTAAAAGTTCAGAACATTTTTTTAAAGTAGCCTATAAATAATAGAATGAATAGAATGATAATGTCTAACATTTATGGTCACTTTTCATTTTATTTCTTTTATATATGTGTGTATATGTACATCCATATTCATATGTACATTTTATTCATTTTATTATTTTATTTTATTTTTAGATTTTATTCACATATACATATTTTTATATTTTATGTATCTATTGTTATATAACATATTAATATATAATCTAAATAATATATTATTTATAATATATAATATAATCTTATTACATTGTTTTTATATTTTATTCATATATACATATGAATATTTGAACTAACCTATGGAAATTAAGGATACAAACCAACACAAATACCTAAAGATAAATAATGTGTGGTCAGTGATTTCAAAGAGAAATAATAAGTAAGTAATAAATAAAATCTTTTCTTATAGAGAAGATAAAACATGCAATAACTCATTCATGGTTAGATGGAATTCATATGTGAAAGTTATAAAGTGCAATCGGAGTATACTGTTCCTAGACTTGAGCTCTTTACTGTCATAGAACTGTACCAGTCACCATTCCTTTTATAATTCCCATACTCTGTAGACTCTTTGTCTTTCTTCATGCCACCTCTACACCTGGAATTCACTCCTTCACCCAAGCCAGTGATTCTCAAAGTGTGGTCCAGAGAGCCCTAGGAGTCTCCATGGTCAAAACAATTTTTATAATAATACTAAGATGTTTTAATTTCTGGTAGGGTAAATATCAGCAGAATAACCAATATGAACAAAAGCTTTTTGGGAATTCTAATTTTTAAGAGTATAAAGAATTCTGAGACAAAAATAAGTTTGATAATTGCTACCCCATATTCTACTGATTGCAGATTTGCTCATTTTTTGGAAACAATCCAAATGCTACTTCTTCCATAATGCTTTCCTTGAGATCTTGCCCAGTTAGAAATCAATGATCTTTCTCTCCTTGAGATTTGCACTTCATTTATGCACTTATTATCTATTTTCTTTTAATCTTTTTTTTTGTGGGTATGCTATGTCTCCACAAAATTGAAAACTCAGTACAGTCTTGTCTGTTTTCACATCTCCTCTAGGACTCAGCAGATTATTAAGTAGCACATGCCATATATTTTTAATATATGTTTATTGACATGCCTTGAAATGCTAGTTCAGAGTAAGGATATGTTTCTAGCTTGGGGAAATAAGAGAGAGCTTGATGGAGAAGATGACATTTGAGAGTCTGACTTGAAAGAATCAGAATCCAGGAAGTATAGAGTTCTGACAAATTTACAGTAATTTTTAATAATAGACACATCCTTTTGATGGATAAGCCCATACTAATTAAATAATTCATATAATTTGTTTACTAAAGTCTTACTCTGATGTCTGATCATGGTATAGTGATAATCCTGGCTATTTTACTATAACAAGCACTGGGTGACTCTACTAAGATGGTGCTGCTTTGAGCTCAATTGACTGGTTTGAATTCAGCAGATTGGACATGTATCTGTTGTTGAAGGACAAATATAACTGGAGCACCAACTACTCACTGCCACTTTGGCTGCAGGATAATTAATTTTTCTGGAAGAACTTCTCTCAGGGAGCATTTGTATGTCCTTGATGTACTAAAGTTTAATTAAATTTAAAAGAATATCTCTATTGAAATATTACTTTATTGCTTTCACTGCATTTATTTGACTGTTCCCCTGTTCATACAGAAATAACTCATTATAATATGATATACATTGATATTTGTTATATTGAGCAGAAATATCTTTGAGAGTCTGTAATACTTTCTTTAAATTAGAATGACCTCAGGGTATTAAAAGAATTTCTGTTAAGAGCTAAAAATTGAAATGTGTACACTTAGGAGACAAAATCAGTATGCTTGCATCTTTAAAAATAGATACCTTCAGAAGAATACATGAAGCTTACCATTCTGTCCTAAAACTTGAGTTTTTTAAAAAATGACTATTTTTACCAAATAACTTTATTTTCATGGTTTTCCACTTTGATTTCTCACTTGGGATGCTTTGGTTAAAAGGTGATCTCAGGCAAAAGTTTTAAAGAGATTTCTTCAGCAATCACTTAAAAATCCCTCAAAAGAGTAAAAATAATTATTTTGCTATGTTTTGGGCAATTGCCTTTAATATGTATTTGGATATGTTTAGAAAATAATTTGCTCAAGAAGTAGTAGAAATTACAGAATGAAAAGTTTATTTTAAATGACTGTGTTAATTATGGATAATTTATGAATGCTCATTAAAAGCAAATTAGAGTAGTACAGGGAAGAAAATATATTGTGTTATGTACCTTTTTGAACAGGAAGTGTTAATTAGAGCTATCTTTCATCTTAATTTATCTACAAGGTGAAAAGGTTTCCATGAATATTACCTTTACAGTGTTAATGGTCTGAAAATTGCAGATTGCAGTGTGGTCATTAAAAGTTGCAAACTTTTCTGGTCACAAAACCAATTGCATTAAAATAATGATTTATTTGGCTTTGTTAGAAACATATATAGTAGAAGAAATCATGCACTGCAAATTTCATATCATACTGTTTTATTGAAGAAATCCTTGTGGAGGCTCCATTAACAGATGAAAAAAGTTATCTGTACATAAATGCAAAATTCAGTCACTCAACACTCATAAATGTTTCTTGATTCATTGATATGAAAGGCTATCAAGACCTCCATCATTTCTTCCTGTTGCTGAGAATGCCCAAGATTCCTTCACCCTTACCCCAGTAATGGGGGCATTTGATCCCCCTTCCTCTTTGTATTACCCTTCCTATAGTTTTCTTTTTTTTTCTTTTTTTTTTTAAAGGCAATTGGGGTTAAGTAACTTGCCCAGGGTCACACACCTAATAAGTGTCAAGTATTTGGTCAAAGACCACATTTGAACTCAGGTCCTCCTGACTCCAGGGCTGGTGCTCTATCCACTGTGCCACCTAGCTGCACCCTGTAAGTTTTCTTATGAACTGTTAAGGCAGATCTCCTTCATCCTCTACTTTTTCAGTTGATTTTTTTTAACCTAAGTAAAGAAATTTACATTGACCCTGGTCACGTTCATTCTCTTAGTTTGAGTTCATTTATTGTTCAAGCTTGCAGAGATCTTTCTGAATTTTCATTTTGTTATCATTAATCATCCCTACGAATTTTGATTTCTTTCATAATTTTATAAGCACAACTTCTGTGTCTTCCTTCAAGTTGTGGCTAAAACTGTTAGCTTTTTGAGTGCTATGTCATGTCAACTCATATTGAGCTTGCTATTCAAAATCAAATTTTCAAGGCAAAGTCCAGAGTCCTGGGCCACTTTGAGACTTTCAGCCATGACTGTATGTCTCAAAGGCACAAATTTTACTATAGCTGATTGTATCAAGAATTTTATTTGAGATTTCCCTAAAGTCTTTAGATATAGTTGCTCAAGCAGCTATGAAGTTACCCAACTGAATTATTATTATTTAGTTTTGTCTTCATCTTATCTGGATCTATATCACTAGAGACTTTGTTAAATGCTTACAACTCCTCCCTTTCCCCTCCCCCCCCAAAAAAGAGAGATCCATTATCTCTATGACAAATGGCAGTTTGCAATAGTAAGTAGAGATCTGAACCCAGAATCAGCAAAGCTCGCATCTGTCCTTTAAAACAGATTGGCTTTGTGCCTCTCAACAAATCATTTATCCTCTGAGTGAATCCACTGGGATGGTAAAGACTTACTTCAGTTTTCCTATAGCTATGAAATCACCAGTTCAGAACAACCCCAACAGAAACAGACTGCCCATCTTCTCCTCTAGCAACCTTTTCAACTAAAGAAAGTCACTTCAAAAACCGATTCACATAAAGAAAGGCCCTTAAAGATAAGTGCCTACAAAAAAAAAAGTATCTGTTCTAGAATTTTGGCAGGTATCAGTGTCAAACTAGTCAGTGTAATTTTTAGAATCTGCATTTTCACTTTTTGAAAGTCAGGATATTGACTCATTCATTTCAAATCAAAGAGTATTTTTCAAGCATCATTTTATGCAAGGTGCCATGTCAGGTGCTTGGAATTCTAAGACAAAATGTTTAATACCATCTATTCTCTGGGGGCTTATGTTTTTCTGGGGAAACAAAGCATCCCCATAGCTAAGTAAGTTAAAAACAATTTGAGAAGAGAGAATAATGCAGAGGAATTAGGAATAAAATGAAAGTGGTGATATTTGAGTTGAGAATATACTAAGCAGTGGAAGTGAGAAGGGAGTACAATCTAGGCATGAAGGAAAGTTTGTTCAAGGTCCCAGAAATGGGAGATAGAATGCTTTGCTTGGAGAATAACAGCTTTAGCTAGACTGTGTATGAAGGGAACTAATATGAAATAAATTTGAAAATGTAACCTGGGGCCAGATTGTGAAGAAAGGCCTAGCTACGAAGTTGCTAATTTATCCTACAGGCAATAGAGAGTCACTATATGGCTTTTTGGGTTGGATAGTGACATAGCTGCTTAGGAAGATTAGTTTAGCTGCTTTATATGGATTGTGCATTGGGGAAAGGGAGAGTGAATTCTAGGAAGCCAAATCAGTTGTCACAATGTTCCAGGTGAAGGTTATTGAAGGCCTGAATGAGATGATGGTCATGGAATGGAGTGATGGCTCAGATAGGAGATGTGGAGATTAGAATTGTCAGGACTTGGCAATTGATTGAATATGGGAGGTGAGAGAGAGTAGAGTCAAGACTTCAGTGGTGTGATGTGGATGTTGCACACTTCTGAAATAGGAAAGTTTGGAGGAGAGAGGTTTAGGGAGAAGTACCCATTGAGGGAGAGAGTTACAGAAATTGTGTTTTCTAGAGGAACTCAAGTTTCCATGGAAACAAGAAGTTGGAAAGAATATGATAAGAAGAGGTCCAAGGTGATGGGAAATTTGTTAGCAATAGAAGGGAAATTGTAGAGAGCATGAGGGGAAGGGAGTGCCAAGAAGGATAGAGCTGGAGGAAGAATAGAGTTGAGGTTGATTTGCAAGAAAGTGGGGCAAAGGTTTTGTCATCTAAACTTCCACTGTCTGTAGCACAGGGATTAAAGGAGAAAGTTGTATCCTAGAATCATAGATTTAGAGCTGAATAAACTTTTGTGCTCATCTAGTGCAATTGCCTAATTTTAGAGATGAAGATATCAAGGCGCAAAGAGGTAGTGATTTGCCAACCTTTGGAAAGTACAGTGTCATTTCACTGGGATCCTCGCCATCAAGGGTCCTCTAATAACAGAGGACACCATCAATTTCTTCTCTTAGTACACACCAGAGGAGAACAGAGATTTGATTTAGGCATATTTTTCAGTAAATACCTAGTGAAAGTGTCACTAGAAACCTTACTAAACCTACATTTAGTAACTCTTTGCCATATCCCAAGAAATCTGGGAATGCTGCAGTTCAAAGAAGTACTCCCTGAATGTGCTGTCTTTGCTTGGCTTCTGATTGGGCCTGCCTATGTGACTATTACTTCTGGATGAGGTTATAGTGGTAAGAGAGGCCTGGTGCCTAAGGCCCTTACCCTGGCTGGGGTGGTGGTTACCAGAGACCTGAAATCTGGAAGCTTGATGGTTATAGAGAATTGATTGGTTATTATTTTTCTCATATGGTTTGGGGAATTACAGTAATGTAAAAGTGCTATCTTAGGTTTCAAAACCTCAGGGTGCTCTAATAATAATACCTAATATTTATATAAATGTTACAAAGTGAGCAGCTTGATTGCACAGTGGATAGAGTGCCAGTTAGAGTCAGGAAGACCTGAGTTCAAATCTGTCCTCAGACACACTTAGCTGTGTGACCTTAAGCAAGTCACTTAACCTTGTTTGCCTCAGTTTCCTCACTTGTAAAATGAATTGGAGAAGGAAATGACTCAGTATCTTTGCCAAGAAAACTCCAAATAGGGTCACTAAGAATTGGCTGAAATGACTGAACGAGGTTTCCAAAGCATTTTAAGCAAGTGTATGGTTGTATGTGTATATAATTTCAGTTTGATTATAATGATAATATGATGCAAGTGCTATTATTTTCCCTATTTTACAAAGGAGGAAATGGAGTCTGAGGAAGAATGAGTCACTTTCCCAGGGTTACATGGCTAGTAAATGTCTGAGGCCGAATTTGAACCTAAGTATTCCTTAAAGTTCAGCATGCTGTCTATTAAACCACCTAGTTTCTTTGACTGGTAAGGCAGCTAGATGGTGCCATAGAGCACTGTGTCTGAAGTCAGCAAGACGAGTTCAAATCCAGACTCAGACACTTAGCAGCTGTGTTTCGCTGCAAGTCACTTAAGTATTGCCTGCCTCAGTTTCTTCAACTGTCTTAATAGCACCTTCCTCCCAGGGTTGTTATGGGGATCAAGTGAGATAGTGTTTATGAAGCTCTTAGCACAATTCCTGGCACATGATATTCCCTTTCTCCTGAGGAAGGGGTACAGCATTTTTTACGGTGATAGGAAGCAGAATAAATATATTTGGAATTGTAGCCCTACTCTCCCAGGATCAGGGATGACAGAGAGAGGTGTACATGCTGGTCAAGGACCTTCTTATTATTAATGGAGCTTCCTCCCAGCTAGGATCTCCATGTGAAGTAGTGAGCAGTAGAGACACGGGGTGAAGTATAGGGGCAGCTCCCAGTGGGATAGTGAGATGAAGGAAGGATGCCTGCTGGCACAGTCTTACAGGAGGAATATCCCCCAACATAGCTATGCCAATCCCAGGGAACTATAGGTGCTACCACAGGATTCTTGGTGTTAATGGATATTCCCATTTGCATAATGGCCACCTATAGTGGCCTGATGATGTCTTGGAGTACTAGCCGTGCTCTTTTTTTTTTTTTTGAATAGCATTTACAAATGTGTTTAATATCTTTGGCCTAGAGAGTTTGAATTAATTTAATTAATTAATTAATTTAATCTGGGCCTAGAGAGTTTGAATTAATTTAAAGCAAATATATCATCTCTGATTATCTATTTAGCCGCCTTGGGCCTGATTCATTGTAACTATATCATAGGCTAGATAGTGAGTTGAATGGGACCTTTAAGATTGTCTAGTTAAACCCCTGTATTTTAAAGACGAAAAAATTGAGGTGAAGAGATTTGGCCAAAATCCTAGATAATATGAGGCACTGGTGGAATCCAAATACACCACTTTTGACTCCATTCCTACATTCATTTCATAATATAATATCTGTCCTGCCATTTCAATTTTAAAATTATTTTCCATGATGAAAAAGGAACACACACATATGTCATATAATAGAAGGAGCATTGGTCCAGGATTTATGATAATCAGGTTTTAATCCCATGGCTGCATTAATTAGCAAGGAGGCCTTGGACAATTGACTTTACCTCAATTTCTTCACTTTTAAAGGGTTGGACTATATCTCTAAGATCCAGTGCAACTCTGAGATGCTTATGCAATTGCCATTTATCCCAGTTATATTCCATGTTTTAAGTTTTAGATTTCCTCTCTGTGCTTTTTTCTAGTTTTAGTCACTTTTTAAAAAAAAAAAAAGACTTTTTTCTCCCCATGTCCTTAGCATTTTTGACCTGATTTAACTTGTTTTTGGCTTTGGTCTTCATGATTACATTGTCAGAGGTTCAAGTGTAAACCTTGATTACTTGATTTTTGTTCATGTTCTTTTAAGTCCTGAGATCATCAGATCACAACCTGCATAACCACTTTGTTGTCTTTAAATGTTTTCCTCCCTTTTTCTAGAGAATATGGTGACTGTTGTGTCCACCACACATTTCTTTTTAATTAGAATTAAGTTCAGAGTGTCAATTCTGCTTATTGTTTCCTTGTCCTGAGAAATGAAATTTTGAGGAAGGCAACTCAGTACTTACTGTATGATCTTCTTTCGTCCAAATGAAACTTTAGTTGTAATCCTGCATTACTGAACTTCCTAGTCACCATAGAATCTTGCCTTGTTACTAGTTTTACATTATATACTGCCAAAGTGTGATCCATATCCTCATTCTGGCCAGGTGCTCTGTAATATAGTACTTATGTTGCACTCACCCTGCTTATTTATTGGGCATTTTGGGAATATGTTGATCATAGGATCCTACATTTAGAGCTAGAAGAGATTTCAAAGGTCATATATCATAGTATTCTTGTTTTACAGAAGAGTAAAATGACACTAACCGATATTAAGTAATTTGCCTAAGATCTCATGGATAGTAAGCAATCTCAAGTCTTCCGACTCTAAATCCAATATTCTTGTCCACTGTACTATGTTATTTGTCTTACTGTATGTTTGTATATTCTCTTTTGTACTTTGGGTTAAAATTGTTTTAGTCAACAGTATCTACTCCCTAAGAGAAAGGACTAAAAGATGGGTGATAACGACTTATGAGGAATGCTTATGAGCATGTATCCAAAGCTGAAAACAAGGGACTGTGTCCACTAACCCTTCTTCATTGGGCATGTGTAAGGGAAAGGAAAAAACCTCAGTGACCTTCTCCATATAGGAATCTTGGATGGTAGCAGGGACCTTGAGAAAGCTAAGGGAAGAAATAGTTGTGAAAACCCAGTGGAAGGCACAAGCAGTCCACATCCTGGGACATAAACATCATACATTAAGGGTCCCCCTCTCTTTAGGTCCAGGATATATGGAGCACCAAAAGAACCATAGACTCTTAGAGAATTAGAATTAGTTCATCTAGTCCAGGGGTTCTTAACTTGGTATCTGTGGACTTAAAAAACAAAAACAAAAAAACTGGTAACTGTTTCAATATAACCAATATATTTTATATCTGTTTACAGAGTAGCAAACCAGATAAAATGCTTCCTCTCAACTCACTGAAGTTTTACCTTGGTGTGAAAAAGAAAATGAAAACTCCAACAAGGTAAAACTAAGTTTGGGAAATTTCATGAAGAAGGGCAAACTGCTCTATTAAATGATTATAATGTTGATTGAGATTACTGTTTTTGATGCAGCCAAATTCTTTATTCTGTTAAATTTATGTGTAGAGGATTAGGTAGCATCATCAAAATATAGTTGGCATTTGGGTTTATTCCCCCTTTGTTTCCTTCTACTAATCTTGCCTACTGCAAAGCTTCTCCCCTTTTTATTCGTGTTGCATGCATGTATACATACATACATATGTGTATATGTATATGTATATACATACACACTTTTAACTATATGTTTTTATGTCATTTGGTACAGTTGGGGACTGACAGCATGTTCAGAGAAACACCACTGGTGAGTAATCATCAGAATTGAAATTTAGATTTTTACATTTAAACTATATATGTAGTTCCAAAAATATTTGCTTCAACAATGGAGTAGTTTTCTTCTTTTTTTAGAAGGTAGGCAAAGAACTCGTGAAATGTGGAATTTCAGCTTCCTTTGAATGAAGCTAAAAGTTTTCTCTGCAATTTCAGCTCAGTGATGAAAAAATAGATTTGTGATCAGGTTTATTACCAAGCCTCTTTTTATTGTTATTTGCTTTATTTCCACTTGGCACAAAAGTCCTGTGAATTAGGAGTGAGTTGTTGTGGAATGTATCTGACAGCTGGCACCAACATGAAGTTTTCCTTGAAAAAAATGATGCATATTTATTTAATTACAGAATTAGTATATACATAGATTAATTTGGGGGTAATATTAGCTTGAAGAGAAGTGCACAAGTTAAATAAAATAGAGAGATTAATATAATCTTCAATTGGGAAAATGAATAAAGCCTAACAATGGAACATAATACAGATAGGTAAAGAAGGGAAAGCATGAAATGGATAGGGCCAAGCACAACTCATTCATTTGCATTCACACACACACAAAGGAAAGAAGTCAGAAGCTTGAACTTTGAGGCAGTTTTGAAGTAGCAAGGTGATGCAATAGCTAGAGTACTGGATCTGGAGTCAGGAAAGCCCAAGTTCAAATGCAGCCTTAGTAAACAGGGTAATTTTTGTTTTGTCTACCATGGAATCTTAAATTGTATTGACGGGTGAGTGGAAGATACCTTATTAATTTTTGTTTTCTGCTGAGCTATCATCATCATTACTATTATTATCATTATTATTATTATGATAATCAGCATGCTAGCATGATAGACTCTTTTACTACATCTTTGAATTAATTATGAAATGGTAAAGATGGTCCTTTGTTATATATCGCTATATCTCTATATATCTATATCTCTATATATCTATGTAAATCCACGTGTACTCTACTGATAACCTCATTGAAGATTCCTCTGATATGTATATAGATGATTCTCATAAATATTTTATATGCACTATAAGGGAGAATAGGCTTATAGGTTAATCGTTATTAATGCTCTGTTGGTCACCCTTTTCAGTATTAACATCTGAGGTTTTTGCCTTGCTTTTAGTATTTTCCTCCCTTCAGATACCTGGTATATTGGTCTCCCAGAGCCATCAGAGTTGCATCGTCTTCAGCACAGATCTTGTCTCCTTTATATACTTGGTTGAGCCAAGTGCCAATAATTGAATTAGTGCCATTTCTTCCTTTTTTATAAGTATATCTGGCAGTGAGAGACTAGGGTCTACTCAGTTATATTGATCTACAAATTATTTTAGCTAGAACTCTAAAAGAACTTCCCCTAGTGTGTGTTCAATCCAAAATTTTGACCCAACAAGCATTTTTATTAAGCACTTAAGGTGTACCAAACACTACTAGATGTCTGAGAAGACAACAAAGTTTAAATAAAATTACAGTACTGATCTCATAGAGCTTATAGTCTAGTAGGAGATAAGACATAAGCACAAATAACTTGAATAAGATTGCATAGTAAGTGCATTACAGAGGTGAAAATAAAATGCTAAATGAAATCCAAGGAGTTAGCTTATGAACACCAGAGACCACAAGGGTAGAGTGGACATGAGCATGAAAGACACCTTTTAGGAGAAACTGTTTGAAATAGGTTTTAACATATATATGTACACATGTATGTAGATGTATTGTTGTTCATCTTTCATTTCTGAAGAAGACCAATGATAAACAACATGTAGATGTATACATACATATTTTAAAGCCCATATACACACCTACACATGTATACATACATATATATATACACACACACATACATGTAGATAGATAGGTATATAGGTATGTATGTATGTAGAAATTCAGGTGGACATTTTAGGTACAGGAAACAGAGTGACCGTAGGCATGAAGATGTCTTGAATATCTTGAAGAAAATTGGAATGGTATTCTATAGGGAAAAGGGAGCCACTGAAGATTTTTTGAGTAGAACCATGAAAAACTAAATAAAGACAGATTAATCTTTCAGTAAGTAGAAGTGAAGGATACATTTGGGTGTGGAAGAAGGTTGAAGGCAGGAAAATAAGTTTGGAGACTATTTACTGTTTTCTAGGCATGTGATGTTGAGGGCCTTTGCCAATAGTGAAAATAGAAAGGGAGGGGACAAATGAAAGGGATGTTGTAGAAATAGAACCATCAGAATTTGGTGATGGATTGAAGCTGAAGGAAAGACAAGAGAAGGAGAAATTCAAAGATAATCAAATGTGGGAGATGTCTGGTGATACAGACTGAAATCATGATGTCACTGATCTTTGTGCTTGCCATTTTTGATATGGAACTACAGCAGCAATAAGACTGCCCCAGATGAATTCATAACCTTTAAAAATTGTCACATCTGCTATAGCTGGGAAAAATCTGTAGCTAAGAATACACATGTGGCTTATTTTTCACATTCCTCCTCAGTAATATAGATGAGGATTTTCAGTATTTTAATTTAGTAATTATGTATGTTACTGCTTAAGATATCCATGCTTGAATAGGTACAAACATATTTTATTATCCTTGGGCTCAGAGCATCTGAAAGTTTTCGTTCAATTTCATGTTATTTTCACATATTCACATGAGTTTTCTGTCTGCCCTATAAAAATGACTCCTTTATTGAAGAAGTTAGCAAAACGTCTTCTCTTACCTCACTTCTAAGGCAAAGCAAGTTTTATTTTCACTAAGACTTTGAAGTCATAAACTTTTTAAATGATATACATTTAACAGAAACCTGAAATAGCCTCTACTTTAATATTCAACTTCTGATTACATTAAATCCTAAATCAGGAGAATCTCAAGGAGGTTTTTGAATGTGAACGCAGTAATCACCCATATTGGAGGTGACTATTATAAGTACACAATTTGTTCATGTATTATTCATTTTAATATCCCTGTTTTTTCAGGTATATGTGTTGTGATGGTCCAGAAACACAGATGGAATGGTTGACCAGTGTTTTTCTTGCCCAGGTATGATATCACTTCTATTTAGTGTACTTTTATAGAATTGACTTTTTTTTCTCAAAACTGAGAAAAAGGTTTTCAAAAAAGCTTCAGTTAGATAACCTGGATTAAAGCTGGCATTCATGTACTTATATGTAGGTTTTTATTTTTTACTTTCACTCATTATTAGAATGTATGAAAGTCATAAGGTACCTGGATGCAAGTAAATGTGCATAACAATGAGTACCTCCATCAAGAGGGATAAGTAAAGAAGTATCTTTATATTAGAACATCCATCTGAGGGATTCCTCTGTTTACTTTTAACTTGTATGTAATTTAACACTTCAAAAAATAAGGTATTATTTTTAGTAAAAATATTAAGTATATTAATATAATGAAGATTGTAGGTATTGCTTTTTTATTAATGGTCAGAGCAGAGCCAACTCCTGTTTGGAACTTGATTCTGGCAAACTAACCAGAAAAAAAGAGAAATGATCTAAGAGTCTAATAGAACTTGGCTGGATACTGAAGTTTTTAATACCTGCAGAAGGTCACAGAGGGAACAACATGCCATGTTTATTCCTTGAATGCCTCCAAGGTACCATCTTTGATACTAACAAGGGAAGGAAAGATGAGGGTAGGCAATCCTAAAGTTTTGAAGCCACAGCAACCTCAAACATTGAAAGAGATTTTTGAAGTCCATGAGCCAGACAAGGAAGTGCCTTCCACATCCAAAGAACTAATGGAAAGATCAGGAATTGCCGAAGGCATGGAGACTTAGAAAACTCTTGGAATGTTCCACTTGACTTCAAGGTCAATTAAATAATCTTAAACTTAAGGAAGGAATTTGGGGGCAGGAGAAAGCCAGATTAAGAATAATTTTCTCAAGCTACAACCCAGTGCCCAGAAAAAAAAGATCAGAAGCAGTTTCTAGAACAACTTAAGAATCCTAGCTAACTTGTTAGCCAAAATATACCTTAGGCTTGAAATCTGAGTGCTGACTCCAGGGACAGGAATGGAAACAAATCAGTAAATAGGAGAGCCAGGAAAGATTAAGGTCTATTTCCATTTATATTATCATTAAGGGTCAGTTTTTGCCTCCTTTTAAAATATTTTGATTTTTAAATTCCCCATTTTTCTTCATTACCTAATACTCCTTTATGTTTCCATGTAATTGCTAGCAATAAAATGTAGAAAATTTAGAAAACAGTGTTGTTTCTATATAGCAAGACAAGGAAGAAATTAAAAAGTAGCATTCATTTCCACAGAAGGCCTGGATGACTGAGCTCTTGACAAAAGAAAGGGTATTGGTAATGAATCCAGGGGGTACCAAATGAGCATCCCTGGTTTCAGAGATGGAAGAAAATGAGGTATTGGGTTATTATCATGAGCCTGAAAATGATCTCTAGGACGTAGGAGCACAGGAGGTGTGGCTATTCTGAGTCAAGAAAGTCTCAAACATTCACCTAGTTTGGATGATGTCCGTCATCTTGCATGAGTAGATGGTAAGGCAGAGGGTATCCCTCAGAGAAACAGGACGTTAGTGCAAATCCCATAAAAGAGTCTCAGCCATAGTCATAGCCAAGAAGAGACCATATACTTCTGGTCATGGGAGGTAAGGGCAATGCAGGTGGCTTCCAGAGAAAGATGGCTCTATCAAGGTCAGATAGCTGCTAATAAAATCAGTACTGGATGCCAGTTTAGAATAGTAGGTAAAGAAACCCAAATTCACTAAAGAATAGAACTAGCATTAACAACAGCCTAATTACTACATGTCTGGAAAGCCATGCAAGTAATAAATGGGTCAGTATAGGAATTCCATTGACCCAAAGCCAACAAGACCTCCAGAGAACATTGAAGCAAGTGCTTGTACAGTAGACCTTAAAAGCCTGATGAGTTATTCTTTTAGGTAAGATTGGGAAATGGTTTTTTTTCATGCAATGCAGCAGAGACTATGGAGAAATAACCTAAAGGTATCCATGGAGAAGAAAAGCAGCATAACTTAGCACCAGAAAAGAATGGTTATGGAAGACAATATCCATAAAAAAGAAAGGGAAAAGCTAGAAAATCTCAAAACGTAGGTAATGTATGGCATTCCAAATCCACTTTGGAGTGAGAAGCTAGTGTCAGCTCTCCTAGAGGTTTCTTTTGGTGCCAGACAAGAGATATATAGCACCTGGAGTGCTAGAAAGTGAGTGAGCAGTATGAAAAGTGCTCTCAAATCAACTTCCTCAGACCAACACAGTTGAGAAGGGAGTTGTAAGGGGAGACCCAGGAGTTTAGAACCCAAGGACCTGTGGGAGAGAAAGGGAGAGAGGAATCAGAGATTCCAGGACACCAGACTCTTTGTACAGAGAATCTAGAACATCATGTCACCACAGCTGGATAGATCACTACAGGCTAAGGAGGAGGTCATCTGAGGTAGGAGAAAACAGGAGAGGAGGTAACACATGTTAACTTCCTAGTTTAATTATTCTTAAATTACTGTTTAGTAATTTAAGGAAAGGAATACAAGTGCTATCAGAACTCTCTAAATGAAAAAACCAGAAGCAAAGTTCCAGTTAGCATTCCCTAGTTGTGTCTGTGCCCTGGGTTCTTGGTTTTGTTTTTTGGGGGGGGGGGGTTTCTTTTTTTGGTTGGGCAGTGGGGGTTAAGTGACTTGCCCAGGGTCACACAGCTAGTGAGTGTTATGTGTCTGAGGCCGGATTTGAACTCAGGTCCTCCTGAATCCAGGGCCGGTGCTCTATCCACTGTGCCATGTAGTTGCCCCTTGTGCCCTGGGTTCTTGGAATTTCTTGGAAATTCCAATGACTTCCATGACTTGGAAGTTTCTCTCTTTGACTTGTTTGGTTTGCCAGAAACAAGTTCACTAACCAGCCATTTAGCTTTCTCTCTGTCCAATATATGATGAAGAAAGAGAAAGAAAGTAGGTATGTTGTAAGCATTACTAAACAGTGTATTGTCTCCAGCTATGCTTCAGTTAAATTAATGCAGCAAATACTTATTTACTCACTCAATAAACATTTGTTAAATATCTACTGTGTGCCAGGCACTGTGCTAAGTGCTGGAGGCACTTGAACAAGTTGCTACCTATGAAAAGCCTTGTGCTGGGTACTAGGGATACAAAAAAAAAAAAGAAGAAAGAAATGAAATGGTTCCTGTACTTAAGGTTTCACATGGATACAAGTAATTCTAATACAAATAGAATAAAGTAGGCAAAGAAAAAGTAAAAATGCTCTAATAATGTTTGAGGATGGAGAGGCTCTGTCAGCAAAGACTTCCCGGAAGAAGTAGCCCCTGAGCTAAGTCTCGAAAAAAAAAAGGATTCTGAAAAGTAGAGATGAGTAGGGAGCATAACAGAGGCTTGGGGGAAATTCATGAAGCAAGGAGATAAATGTTGGATACTGTAATTTTTTCAGTCAATCAATAAGTATCTATTAAGTGCCTGCTATGGACCAGGCTCTATACTATGTGCTGGGGAAGATACAAAGAAAGGTAAAAACAGTCCCTTGACCTTAAGGAGTTCATGTTCTAATAGGGGAAACAAGAAAACAACTACACACAAACAAGATAAATACATAAGATAAATTGGAGATAGGAGATGGAAGACATTAAAGGGTATCAAGAAAGGCTTCTTGCCGAAAGTGAGATTTTAGAGTTTAGTTGGGATTTGAAGAACGTCAGGGAAGCCAGGAGGTGGAGATGGAGAGGGAGAGAATTCCAGGCATAGAGGACAGCCAGTGGAATTGCCTTGAGTTGGGAGAAGGAATGTGTTGTATAAGAACAGCAAAAAGTCAGTGTCCCTGGATTGCAGAGTGCTTCGGAGGAGGAGTAGAAAGGGTATAATGGTGTAAGGCTTTGATTGCCCAAGAGAGGATTTTATATTTGACACCGAAGGGGAAAAGGAAGCCACTGGAGTTTACTGAGTGGGGGGGCAGAAGGTACCTTTGTCAGCCTGCACTGTAGGAAGATCAATTTGACATCTGAGTGGAGGATGGACTTAAGTGATGATGGACTTAGTTCAGAGAGGCCAGCCAGCAAGCTAATGCTGCAGTAGTTCAGCAAAGTGATTGGGGCCTGCACCGTGGTGATGGTACAGTCATTGGAGAGAAGGCAGCATAAAGAGAGAAGTTACAAAGATAAAATCAACAGGACTTGGCAACAGATTGGATTTGGGAGGTGAGAGAAGTTGGAGAATCATGGATAACGCCTCAGTTGCCTAAAATGTATAAGAGGATAATCAGGTAGACCAATGTGAAATAAAGCTGTGGAAGTAGACTGTGAAAAGACCTTAAATATCAGCTTATCTAATTAGTGTTTTGTCTTAGAGGATGAGAGTGGGCAAGTAACTCAACCCAAAATTACACACTTAGTTGGTAGCATAAAGTACATATCGTTCAGTCATTCAGTAATGTCCAAATATTCACGACCCCATTGACCATAACATGCCAGTGCTGTCCATGGGGTTTTCTTGGCAAAGATACCGGAATGGTTTGCCATTTCCGTCTTCAGTGGATTAAGGCAAACAGGGTTAAGTGATTTGCCCAGGGTCACACAGTTAGTAAGTGCCCGAGGCTAGATTTGAACTCAGGTCTTCCTGACTGCAGACCCAGCACTCTATCCACTGAGCCACCTAGTTGCCTCCATAAATTGTACAGCTAGTAATTTAAAACTCATGAGTATCAATGCTGATATAGTCCTTTCAATTTTCATGATTCTTTCTGCTGTATCAGATGAATAGATGGGAGATAAAATGGTATAGTGGTAGGAAGGCAGGACTTGGAGCAAGGAGAGATCTGGGTTGACATCCTGCCTCCAACACTTCCATCATGGGGAAAATTGAACTTGCTTTTTCTCAGCTGCAAGATGAGAACAATATCTATAATAGTTCCCCAATAGGATTAACTTGTATAGTATAGGGGGCAGCTAGGTGGCACAGTGGATAGAGCACCGATCCCGGATTCAGGAGGACCTGAGTTCAAAGTTGCCCTCAGACACATGATACTCACTAGCTGTGTGACCCTGGG